TCTATTTCCAAACCAATGTTTACTACCCATTTCTCACCTAAATCTAATTTGTCTAATTTAAAACCATTGTTACAAGTTTGCTCTTGGTTGGATAGTTTGAGTACCTATGTTATGTCCCCTTTTTTAGCCCTGACTTCCATTTATAAACCTCTATCATATCGCCCCTCACTCTACGTCTCTCAAGGGAACGCAAATTAAGATACTTTGACCTGTCTCTGTACTCGAGGTTCCTAATGCCCGGGATTAGCCTTGTAATTTTCCTCTGAATTCTTTCTCAGGATTCCATATCTATTCTGTAATAAGGTGACCAGAATTGAACTGCATAATCCAAGTGAGGTCTCACATGCGCAAGATATAGTTTCAGGATGACCTCTCTAATTTTGTAACTAACACTCCTTTTTATGAACCCAAGTATTTTATTAGCCTTGTTTCGAGCAAATACAAATTGTTTGCTTGGCTTAAGATTCCTACTGATAATTACTCCTAAATCTTTCTCACATTCTGATTTCTCTATAACATCATTGTTCATCTGATATCTGGTTCTCTGTTAACATCTCCTTGACTAAGTACTTTACTTTGTCCACATTGAATTTCATATGCCATTTTCCAGATCATTCAAAATATTTGTTTAGATCTTCCTGTAGTTTTGCGTAGTCCTCATCAGATTTATTACACTCCGTATTTTAGTGTCATCAGCAAATTTACTTATGTTGCTGTGTATGCCGATATCTATGCCAGCAAAAGTCCTCCCACAACTTGCTACACAGGGCTGTGGGAGAACTTTTGCTGGCAACTGTACCTACACATTTTTAGGGGTATATTTTGGTCAGTTCGGGGATGCATCTTTCGGGGCGTTGGACGAAACAAATTTTTCCCATGTTTCAATATGTATGGTTTTGCTTATCACGGTAGTTTTCTGGAACCTAACCCTCGTGATTATCAAGGATAAATGTACAGTATAACACTTCTTAGAACAATGTTCACTCTGCATAAATGTTTCGGTGAATCACTCTCCCTTCTCAACACAGAACCTGCTACAAACTAACTTGAGGTCAAAAAGAAAATACCTGCACTGTAGTCTGGGTTTACGCGGCACCTGTCCAGAAGCGATAATTATTCTTTTCGCGGTAAATGCCATCATAATGCGGCAAGCGGCGGGGCAAGGTGCTGGGCACTGACGTCACCGCTGGCGTCAGACTTGCACCGATGACGTCGCATACTGTGATTGGGCCACGTATCCATACCACCCACACAACCCCTCCGCCGTGCGCTGTGATTGGTCTATTTAACCTTGCCACCCCCTGTCACCAGCGCTCTCGACCATCGCCGCGCCAGTCTCACTGTCCCCGCATATATTCACTCGTGCCCAGGAACCGGTTTTGTTTTTTCTTTCTACACAATGGCTTCCGTTGGACCCCCACCACCCCTGAACTACCTGGCCCAAGCCGCCCCAAGCCCAAGAAGGTGCAACGTGCCTTAAGCTATGAGGTTAAGCACAAGATCGTTCAGGAGTTAGAAAAAGGCACGAGGCAGTGGATCTGGCCAGACAATATGGAGTGAATGAATCGACGATCCGCATGATCAAGAAGGATGCCGGCAAAATCAATGAACACATGAACATTACAAAGTCTGTAGGTGCCTCGCTGGTGAAATATTGCCACAATAAGGTGCTGCTGAAGACCGAGAGTTGTTTGGTAAGCAACATTATTCGTCAATCAAGAAGGAACATGGCGGTCGACATTTGGGCACTGCAGGACTACGCCCGAGAACTCTATGCAGCAGTAGCAAGAAAAATGGGGGTTGCAGAGCCCAAGCCCTTTAGTGCTTCCGCTGGGTGGCTGCAAGGTTTTAAACGACGCAATAAGATCACAAATATCCTCTGTGGTGGATAGAGATACAGGTAAGGGCCAATAATCTGCCCTCTGCCTCAGAACCCCCCCCCCCCATCCCCGTGTGCCCAGCCATCTCTTCTACTCACGTAAGTGTTAAAAAATATAATATTATTGATATTTCTCCTATATATTAATTGTGTACATACCATCATAAAATTAAGATGTTTTTTACTACAATGTACGTATTGTGTCGGTGATAGCCAAAAAAAGGGTAGTCAGGCAGTCGGCCAGGTCTCTATTTCAATTAATCCCGTATGTTCTGTTATTTTATTTACGCATTTCGCTTTATACGCGCACCTCCATGGGTTTAATTAACCGTGTAAAACCAGACTATACTATACAGTACTGTATTTAGTACAAGTACTTTACATTGCCTTGGGTGGAGTGGTCACAAAGGAGGGGGATGCAGTGACCTGTCCTAGTCACCTGGTGGAGTGGAGTACAGTACTTTACTGTAATAATAGAATGCAATTAACAATATCATTAGTTCTTTGCTGGCCTCAAGAGGTAATAAAGTTCTTTGAAATAATGTTTATTCAATAACTTTTCTTTCTATTGAATGGGGTTATTTAAATCCACAGGGGGATTTTCTTGCATCAAATAATTAAAAATGCAGTTGTTTTGATTGCCGACCTTGATGTCTTTCTTATGATAAAAATCTATCTTTCATTGCTTCCCCCGTTTTGCAAAAATAAAACTTAGGACATTGTTTACGTTTAACCTTCTGCCCATGGTCAGGAATCTCAACCCCTTCGTAGTCTTTGACACATGTTGTGTCGATAACAGGAATGGTTTTTCCGTTTTAATAAACATTGGGTAGAACAATACAGACCCAAATTGCACAAGGTTAGTGGGAAGAACTTACATTTCTGCTTGCACTCAGTGTGAGATATAGCTGAGCGGAAGGAGATGTGCCAGAGTGCTTAGCAATGCAATTTGCAATGAAAGGCCACGAGAGGGTTAATTGCATACACATCAATAACAGGCTGTGTGTTGAGAAGGGTGAGCGATTCACGCTGAATTTTGCAACTTTAGACTTCTTAAGTGTGAAGAAAATGTAAAATACCATAGCACTGCTTGCAGCTCATCATGCTGAACAAATTACTCGAAATCGAAAAAATTTAGTATTTAGCCTAACACAAAGGATAGCACAGTCTAAATAAATGTTACATTCATATCTAATAATGAAATCATACAGTAAATTTAACACTTTACCTTGAAAAAATATGAATGTAACTTGATGGGGGAGAAGGGTGATTTTGAGGTTGATAACATTGAGCTTCTCTTCAAGTGTTATATCCTTTCTTTTACGATAATCACCGGGAATTCTATCATCAGAGCGCTTTTTGGAGATATTCTTCTTTACCATATTCACAGTTAATACCACAAAATTGGAGAAATAGTAAGCAAAAATCGCATTATAGCAAACAAGCGTTCGCGTTATACAAATATTGTTCCGAATTCATAAATCGCGTTAGAGCAAATTCGCGTTATCAAAACACGCGTTATAGCAGAACTCCCTGTATGCTATTAATTTTTTATAAGCTATTTTACCTTTTTTGTGATACAACACATGAACTTATATGTAACATCTTTCCTTTGGCTGTTTGGAAACATCCTTTCATAAGAAAAAGGAAAGATATGGCCTGGAACTCCAACATCAGAGAAAATGATGTTTTTAATTTCTTAGTCTATAATCCCAACTATCCCCGTCTGACCTTGAGAAAACTTTGGTCTCATGGGTTATGGAGCTGCATTTTCTCTGTGATAAATAATATGATTTAGTTTGAGTAATGTTGGATATTTTACTATTTTGTTTTTTTTATAGGCTATTGTTGATAGAAGTGGGTTTTGCTTGTTTGCTCGTTTAGATTTTGGCAAAGCTTGCTGAGTGGGAAGTGTTTCAAAAAGTGCTTAGAAATAGCTATTGTTGTGAAGAGAAAGTCATGTTTCCCATATTAAAATATTATTACATTGTTCCAAGAGGTAGAAAAAGTTGGTTATCACTATATGTGCACACTTTGTGGGAAACAATATAAGACCATGGACGATAAATTCGAGTATATGAGGGTTATCACTAGTCCCACATAAAATTTCAGAGCAAATCGACCCCCCACCTGCGCATATAGTTGTTTTAGCTATTGTACATGTATCTTACTCTAATGAAAACTTTCTTATGTTCTATTACTAGCTGATGCAGCCACAATTTCATTATTGAGAAATATGAGGAATATTTAAATATGGTTTATTCTGTTACTCTTACTACAGAAACACATAATGCCTGCCAGGCTGGTTTGGTAAGATGCTACTCAAAAATATTTTTGACAAATATACACACAAAAAAGAGAGGGGGTCAGTCTTTAGAGTTTATCCATAAGCAGAAAATTTGTGAAATAATTTACTTTTCAAATTATTTCTCTATAGAGATAAGTACAGTGCCTGTATATGGAATGTGTTCCTAGTAAGTGCACAATTTTATGAATGTTATTTATTGGGCATCCTCATGTATTAGTAGATTGGTGGTCCATTTTCTGACGTGATAAAAATCATGAGTGAATCTGAAGAGAACGTCAATGCTTACAGTGTATGTGCGTATGCCACATGTTTCTCCAACATATTAAACTACCACTAATATTTAATTTGATCAAAATGTTGTGTGTTGTACACGGGCAATGATAATGTGCTTAAACTTCTTCATACATGCCCTTCATATATCATTAAAACTCCATTGTCATCTATTTGGCAAGACAACCCTACTATAAAGATTGAGACATTTTCTTTTATTAAACACTCGACTAACTTCCTTTTCTTGAATGTATCATCTTGTTACCTTATTTGTTTCGCTAGACAATTTGTGAAGCAACACAGCTCATTTAAGTGTTAAACTGTTTTAACACTAATATTTCCTCTAAGCACTATTAATATTTGCAAATTATTATTTTCAATACAAATCCATTATTGTATATAAATTTGTACCAAAGAACATTTGTTTGTCTTTGACAGTAGCATTAGTATGTATAGCCATACCAGCTTACACAAGTTAAAACATCCGAGTGTTTCGGGTGACCAAGGGAGTAATGGACAATGGTGATGATGAGGATTAAGAAAACTTAATTTATAATAATATAATACTTTAATTGACTCCTCACTATATACAGTATGGCATGCAGGTTTATGTTTAGGAATTTATAAAACTCGAGCCTAAAATATATATTCATAAAAAATACTATCATAAAAATCTAAACAGGTCATAAAAATTTTAACACTAAAGTACTGTACCCTAAATATTTCTCCTCAATACAAGATAATACAGAACTGAACTAAATTTTAGATTTCTAATAAAAGAAGAAATTATGATATACATGTTATCCCCAACTTGATACCATTATTCTACATCCAGTTTTACAACTCCAAACTTTTCAGAATTCCTTTCCTTTGCTCCTAAACAGTTTCGAATTTCTAGTCCTATTGCACGTGCCATTGGTGGTGGCACTGCGTTTCCAATCTGGGGAAAAAACATATACAGTATGTACTATTGATTTTTTATAACCAAGTACACATGCACAATTATGTTCAAAAGTCACATCCAGGCTGTGATCCCTGTGAATCCCAAAACAATAAATTTTAATTATGCAATGATACCCTCCATCCTGTCAACAGATGCAGTATAGCGATGTGAGTTGCAGGGGTGAGAGGGGAGACTACTAAGGAGTTAGCAGTGCATTATTATTTATATACTGAGGATAGAAGTGATTTTAAGGGAGGATAAATTGGCACCAACATGTCACACAATGTTGGTAGTTAACACAGGTTGTGTCAGTGGTCAGAGTTATTTAAAGTGACACAGAACCCCACCTCACCTGCTTTCCTCTCCCAGCTTAAAAGTCGAGTGACTCGCAATACACAGAAGTAATAGAACACAACATAAAAATAATGATGAAAATAGAATTCAAACTATAATCAGCACCTAAGACACCATAAGCTAATCTCTTGGACACCCAAGACAACACCTTGGTCACCTAAGACACTGTAGGTGTCGATTTATCATCCCTTAAAATCACTTTATCCTCAGTATGTATACTGTATAAATAAAAATGCACTGCTGACTCCTTAGTAACCTCCCCTCTCACCCCTACAACACACAACACTGTGTAGCATCTATTGACAGGACGGCACATCTTTGTATGCTGACTCGAATTCACTGTTTTGGGATTCACAGGGTTCACAGCCTGGATACAAATTCTGAATGTGACTGTACAGTCACAAGCAAAAGTACCTTTTCCTCTTAACATACAAGCAAACTCAAATTGTTAAAATTAGACTCAAAAGCTGTCTCGGCTGTAATTTTAAAACTGTAGATAGTGGTCGTAAAGTGAGAGTACCTCCCCTCGACGTCAGCAATATACTTAGCAGAGGTAATGCATGCCCCCTTTAAATGGGCAAGAGGTAGAAAAAGTTGGTTAACACTAGTCATTTCATCAGGTGCAATAACAATTAAAACACTAAAGAGTAGCTGTATAATGAATCACATGTTTTAGTATTATACAACCTCCTTAATACAATTCATATGCATAAAAATGTTCAATTTCCTTTATATACATATGAAAAAACTCTCCTTGTCTATAGTCACATTAATGATACACTAGCATACCAGAGACTTGCCATGAACACTTATCTACTCGTACTTTACCTAACAATTTCTCTTTTCCTCATAGGTCCAGAAGGAGACCCAGACCTTTAGAGATTTCTATACAGTGCATATGTTAATGTGTGATGTTTATAATTTTATCAGCAGAACTTTAACACTACTTTAAGGTGTTGTTTTTTTTTTATATGAAAAATATAAAATATGCAGAAGGTAAAATTTCTGCATTCTGAAACAAGTGTCTGTACTATATAGTTCAAGGTCATGCTGTACTGTATTTGGTGAAGTACTACTGTGTCCAAACACTACACTAACAAAATAATTTATCCAGTTTTCATCTTATTTAAAAAAAAATTACATCTTAACATACCTGTCTATGCTTTTCCGTGGTGGATCCATAGAATCGGTAGGTATCTGGAAAGCCCTGTGACCGTGCACATTCACGAACACTCACCACACGTGTTTGTTCTGGATGCAAGACACGTCCCTATATGACAAATAAGTTATCAATTATTAATGCACAGATAAAACTACCATACTTGAAATGGTGCAAATCTTTATTTAGAAAACAAAAAGATAATGAAGTGCTGTAGATTGACTAAAATTTGCTTCCACAGGAAACTGCCACACATCCAATTGCAAAGCCATTTGTCATATTGCTGGGCAACACTGAGTTTGACATTTCCATAATTAACAGACAATAGGAATATTCATACTCACTAAAATAAATACTGTATACACTGTATCCCTGTTAATTTGGATTGTGGCGGGTAATTCGTATATATTTTTTTAATATTTAAACGATTTAAATTCGGAATGAATGTGAAATAACAGAACGGTTCCCAGAAGCCAATTATATTATGAAATAGATCAATATGAATGAATTTGGGAATAGAATATGAATTATACATATTAAGATATTATATAAAACTACATTTGGGTGCATAACAGTGGAGAGGAGGTGGTGGAGAAAGAGGGAGAAGGAAACAGCTCGCCACCTACCGCGATAATGACAGAATGCAATATCACCCAAAATTTTGGTTCATTTAGTGCCAGATTAATAAAAGATTATTGAAAACTAATACATTTTCTCCCCCCAAAACACACTCATTCCCAGATGAGCTATTGTGCCGACAGCTGATCATTCGTGCTCTCCCTAACAATGTTGCCAGCACTCACTCTCTCTCAACCACCGTCTTTGTCACAACTCAAAAGTGACCCAGCGCCCTCTTTTTGTCAAATTAACGAGGGTACAGTATATAAGGTGTCTGAAAAAAAAAGTATAAACACTGCCTTATAGACTTGTGGCAATCACATTTTTAAAGAGGATACACATGAATTACCTGCTTCCCCATTGGTTCAGGATTTGTGACTGTTGTGGAGAAATATCCATCCCATTCAATCCGCCCATATAGTCCAGCCCAGTGATTGTGACGATTGCCAGTATGAGGCAGACACCATGGGATAAGTGTGTTGAACTGTTTGTCCATGGGATCACAACTCCTGCCAGTAGCACATAAGCAAACACCACGAAGTGCCCCAGTTGATGATCTACCTTGTTTTTTGTCTGGATGAGTATACTGCCTGCAACAGCACAAAGTTTATCACAATATCAGTTTTGGTTACTAAAATCCTTAAAAATATACATATACATTTATTTAAAAGAAACAATCCACTTTAACCACAATTACCATATATCCACACACAGTATTACACATCATTTTTCACTTTACAGTAACTCGGACAATCATCAAAATTTTCCCAGCCTTCTCCTTCATCTATGATCTCCGGCTACTGCCATTCACTTCATGGCAATGTCATTTAGAAGCAATAACCTTCCTAATTCCTCAAGTTGATCTTTCTCCTAATGCCACACGTTCCTCTCAAAAAATATTAGTTGGGCCCATGTTTCATCAGTATGCATTCAGCAATGCTGTACTAATTCTAACATCCACTGTTAGAACATACAAGTACACCATGTTTATACATTTTGTAAATATTGGAAAGTAAAAGTAAATTTTCACTTGAAATATTGTATACTCACAATTTTTTGGCTTCCTTCCCATCTGATAAGCGAACAACAATATTAGGGAGGTCACGCCAATCTGATCCAGGAGCTGTGGGGATGTGTCTTATGCGCGCTTCAACCAATGGTGCCATGTCTTTACATATATGGTCCCGGAGAAGTGGTTGATGCTGTTTGCCTCGGATCTTCAGATTAAATAAAAAAGACTGGTTAAATATTGCCCTCAATTTTAATTTTATCAAGGTCAAATTGAGCCATGCTTCACGAGACGACCCCAAAATATGTAGGTAAGCACATATCCAAATTGTTTGAGAGACTGAAGGTTAAAATAAAGGTTATTATACTTAAGATTTTTTTGGGCACTCGACAAATCGAAGTTGTGTTTATAATAATCCTAGGTCTTACATTTAATTCATAATATTTATCAATTTAAAGTTATTCCACTTAAAGAAGATGCCACATTTACCTGCTCTGTTGTGGATTACCTTTATCAGAAGTTTTTGACCATAAATGTAATGTACAGCAGTAGAACATGGAGCAGGACAGGTACTCGTTACATGTACCCAGAGACACTTGTAGTCATTTTGGTGCCAATATTATGCTTTACTTATTTCCCCATGAACAATAATTGAACTTAGTGATCGGGTCACCTGAAACAATTATATTTTCCTTGCCCAAACCTCTTGTCATTATTGTGCATCTCAGTGTTCATTGTTTTGTTGAGTTAGAGGTGGGGTACAGAACTAAAAATGTTATTGCTGTCAGTTGCCGCAAGAGCTGTGTGAAGAGGGGATTGTTGGTGGTAGACTGCTGGTGGCTGGGTTGAGTTGAGAGGGAGCTAATGGATTAATGGTTTTGAGTAAGAGTCCTTCTAAAATCTTGAACTGCATACATGAAGGCGAGTTATCTGGAGGTTCAGGATGGGTAAAATAAAAGCTTTCTTTCATAATTTCAGAATTAGTGTAATGTACAAGAGTAATTGATGATTTCAGTAGGCATGTTTATGGCTATTGATCCCAGGTGTTTTAGGGGAAAGTTGGAGATATCTGGTTCTGTGGCTCAATAATTTTTTATGGCCGTTTGGATCTACTGTGTGGTAAATGGGAACTGGAACTGGGTGTCTGGTGTAATTTTCATTAATATATTTTTTTTTATGTTCACTGTGGAGGCAGGTACTGTCAAGAACAAATAGCAATTAAACTAATTTACTTTACGTTTCCTATCTTCATCAAGATGACCCACACAGAAATACCTGTCATGTAAATGTCATTAAACTCCTGAGCAAGCTATTTATTGCATGAACAATAAAACTAACCAAACGTTGGAAGTGAGACTCAGGTTCTGAGCCATAGTTCATTTCTTCTTTACGGTGTCCATTGCGTATCTCTGGCAGGTCTGACATAGTATCTCTTGCGGTTATTGTGCGTAGTGGTGCAGACTCTACCCACTGAACATTGGTGACATACTGCAAAGAACCAGCATTTATCATAAAAAGCTTTTTAATAAAGTATTTACATTATAAGGCATTATTAGCAGTACAGTATCATGTGATGTAGTGGTCCCCAACCTGTAGTTCGGGTGCCCACGGAACCATATTATGGAGCCCACATGGGTTCATTAGAAAATTTTTAATTATTCAGGATTATTTGGAAGAGTAAAATTAATGAAAATATATAATAACGTGATACAACTTTGTATTTTGAGAGAGAGTGAGAGAGAGGGGGGAACTGCACATTTGTCCCGAGTCTGTATTGAACAGGACGTGTGTATTTACCCCAGATCGGGCCCAGAGAGAGAGAGAGAGCCAGACTTCTCATTGGGGTAAATACACACGCCCTTTCCGAGAGTAGATGTAAAAAGTATGTAACTGATAACAGTTAGATGTGTAAAACTGCAAATAACTGTATATGAATATTTTTTTCTTGAATGTAGATCCAATGTTTTGGCACCCTCCACTATATTTACAATGACAAATGTGCCCCAGAGCCTACAAAAGAGACCACTGATGTGATGGAACCATTATAAGGTACACTACAGACTATAGCTATTACACAAGTTAAAATAAATGACTTGGCAATGGTGTTCTTCAGGCATCTATGGCAATTGAAGATAACAGGGTTTCTACAGCTATTTTGACGCATGCTTAAATTAATGCAGTACTTTGACACACGGCTAGATCAGTATTTTGACACATTTGACCAAATGCCTACATATTAGAAGTTTACCTGATGTCATATGGACATATCAGACTTTAATTTTTTAGCAAGAATATATATTACATTATATGATTTGCTATAACTAATCTTATCTAAGATGAAATGGCTTTCTGCCCAATCGTCATTCCCATTCCTCCAATACATTGTAGTAGGTATACAAATCTGCACATTAAAGAGTTTAACTTATATGATACAAAAAACATTAACTACTGTATACAGTAGTCCTAGAATCAAACTAAACATTATCTTATGAATCAAATATAGGACTACAGTAGTAATATCACTGAAAGATATGGTAAATTGATAAGTATAGCAGGTAAACAACTCAATGTAATTACAGTACTGAATAAATTTACCTTATATAATAATAAATAATTTCTTAATGGCACCAAAGAAATATCCCAAATTAGAAAAAAAATACAATTAGAGGGGAGAGGGTGGCCGGATGTGGCAAATTTCCAGATAAACAAGGGGACAAATATGCACATTTACTTAATCTTATGGGGAAAATTAGGATATGTTCCACAACTACTAAAAGTCAACAGTAATGCAATAAAAGTTGTGGAAAAATCATTACAATACTCTAATGTGGTTTAGAAATAAAGATATATAATATAAAACAATAAAATATAAAACTATAAACTAAGACATAGGAGGAGCATGGGTGCTTGTGTGGAAAGTGAAAGTGTGTGGAGCTGCCGACTCGCCAATTCAGCTGCATCTCGTGACATCACATACAGAGCAGTAGACACACACAAACACAACCATTTCTGGAGCATTAATGCTATAAAAGTTTGTTAAAAAATCACTAATATACTCTAATGTGGCTTAGAAATAATATACTGTATAACAAAACTATTAAATAAGAAAAATAAAGAACATGGGTGTGTGTAAAGTGAACCACTTCCCTCAATGTGACATCACACACACACATCATTTATATAGAAGTTTGGTGTTAATACAGTAAAAAAAAAAATACAATACCGTATTTTACAGTACCTGTACTGTATTTTATGGTAGGGAGTATTTAGGAAAAAACTTTTGTGGGTATTTTCCGCCTGTAGCCATAGTTTTCTTAAAGTAATATGTACAGTACCACAAAATATGAGGAATAAATAAAAAAAATACCAATAAATAAGTTACAACAAAATATAGTGTACTAATGCCAAACCAGTAAATAAAAGCCAAATGAAAGTTTAACACAGTAGCCAATTGCATGCACTCCCTGCTTCCCCAAAGTAAAGCAAATCTGCTGGGATGCCGATTCCCTAGCAACGCCCACCCCTCTACACTGACAACTGTCTGCCCCTTCCTCTCCCAGCCAGCTAACTCATGTGCAAAGAAAGATAAATTCCCTTTGTGTTTACCCTTAGGACAATTATTTATTTTACTTTTTCACAGTAAGTATGTAGGATGTGTACACTCGGTAAAAAAAAATATCTTTACAATTCTTGTGCAAAACAGAATGACACCACGAATGAAGACTTTTGATAAAGGCCCATGAGGCATACCTCACATTGATAGCCCTGCGTGTGCATTGTTCAATTAGAAATTCATCGGAGCCCTCATGGGTTACTTTTTTTTACCGAGTGTCCATGTAATAGGTAAAAATAAATAAATGAAAGTTACATACATCGACCCAAAAACACGAGTTGAAAAACAACCATAACACCTCACAGCTTGGCCCAGCAGATGATGTGGATTGGGCCCATTTTAGCAGCAGACTGAGAGAAAGAGACCGGATAGAAATTTGCCACATCCAGGTGTCGGTTCACACCAACCGAAATCCGGATCTGAGAGGTCCGGAAGTACGAGGGTTTACTGTAACTTCATCTTTTAAATCAAATTTGTGCAAAGGATTAGTAATAATAATTAAATATCACTGAATTAGTGAACACATACGGTAAAAATTTTGATTTGCTCTCGTACTTACTCGTGAAAGAAGATATTGCCCTATATCCATTCCAAGTTTCATCTGACATATTTCAAGGGTAGAATACTTTTTTAAACCATCAATTGCCTTTACACTAAAAATCTTAACCCATAATTCACCAATACATTGATTGCCAGAATGTGGATCATCATTTGGAGTTTCTGAACTACACATAACTTTACCTTCACCGTCTCCTTTAACTGCCATCTGAACTGGAAGAAGGTCCCATTCTCCTGGTAATTGCTCAACTTGAAATGCATTCCCATCATCAATAACACTTGTTAATTTTGTCTTGAGGAAAGAGGTTAATGCTCACAGCTAACCACCAAATAGCTCCAAATGACCAATCAGATGTCCTAGCAATAAGACAAACCACACAGAAGTCCTGAAGGATGACATTCTTAAATGCCGAGACAGACAATTTAAAGAAGGCAAATGTCCTACTGTAGAATGTCTTGACATCCATCCCAGTGATCTTGTTGGGCGACAAATATCTCTCAAGTGGCTTTGAAGTTTCATACCCAATATGTAGAATTCACTGCCACATTTTGTTCCAACCACTTCAGCAAAAAATTACAACAACCAGCTTAGGGAGCTCATCATACAGTATGTATATAAACACTGGGATGACAGATTTCAGTACCTAACTAGATTTACACCATTGGCTGATTTTAAACACCAGAAACTGAACACTTACTATCAACAGAATTTGCTCAGCAATGTTCGCTTTGATCCACTAGATAATGGTCACTCAGCAGAGTCCTAAAGATGCATTTCATGTTGAGAGATTCATTTCAATTGACATGCTGTACATTGAGCTTGATAGGCATGAAAATGGATTTCTCCAAGGACTAATAGAAATCGTGCCAGACCAAATTTGTCCAGCTGCTTCCAAACTGGTCAATATAATGTATGGCTACAGTGATAAACTAATTCAGTTCCAGGCTTTAATGTACATAACAATCATAAGACTAACATGGACACCTTTCCTAACACTGAAATTGCCCTAATAATTTCTCTCGATGGTATCCAACTCTAGAAGTGAAAGATTATTCTTCAAACTAAAGATGACAAAGAATCATCTGGAGCCCACCATGACACAGTTAAAGCTTATGAACCTTGCCATTCTCACCCTTGAGCAAGTTATTTTGGGGGTCATTGTAAGTCGAGGAAAAAAAAATTAAAAGTGAGTGACTTCACTTGTAGAAAGATTTTACTGTATTGAGTTGTGATTTTTATTTAATTCGACAGTATAGTACTGAAGTAATGTTGAAAATAAACATGTTTATGGACAAATAATTTATAAATTAACCTAGCTACCCATTAATTTGCCATTTTTTAACTGTACAGTACAGTAAACCCCCAAAAACTCAGCAATTGATAACCCAGAATTTCATATAACTCGGCATAGATATGGTCTCGGAATGTAATAGTATAACTCGAGAAATGCAGATATACTGTATATAAAATTATTTGTGAAAATCTTGGCATATCTGGCCACCTGCATCACCTACCATGCATCTGTGTCACTTACTATAATGCTTCGTTCTTTGCCTGCAGTGCTGGTGTTACTTTTTTACATTTAATAATTACATGTACACCTATAGGGGTTGATAATTTTTTAGTGTTGCATTTTTGTAGGAGGGGGGCTCGATAAGTCGGAATTTGGGATAACTCGGCAAGGCCAGAGCCCCATAGGTGACAAGTTATCGAGGGTTTACTGTACTAGTTTATGTTTGAAAATACCTGTACAGTACTGTAATTATATTGATTGAAAGAGTTCAGTTTTTGAATGCATAACCCTATCCCAAAAATTTTAATTTCAGCCTTTGGTGTGGGCCCAAGGTCCCCCACAATCTTAATCCAGCCCTGGTGGTAGGGAAGTACAGCAGATCATATGTGGCAAGGTAGCAAGATCCAATAAGTGAATGAATGATGAAGGGCTCTATGTTGCTCTTCATTCCAGCTGCCTCGTGCTGAAATAAGAGAAGGTTGTGACAGGAAAAAATAAATACATACCTTCTTATTATCTGCAACAACAGACAGCTGACATGCTCTTCGAGAAAATGTATGGGTAGGTTCTGGATAAAATGGCAATTTCTCTCCTGGGGCAGCTGCCAAAATAATCGCTCTGGGAAACAAAATCATAATCGATAGTTGCGAGTGGAATTACTGTACAAATACTACAGTGTAGTTTGTAAAGCAAATAAGTTATACAAATTAATACTGTAATTACAAGTGGAGTTAATTTGTAAAGCATATGAGATAAATTATGTAACAATGTAAGGATAAATATAATGTTATACCTGTACAAGTTTTCACGTATACTGTACAGTACTATTCTTCAATAAAATTTCATAAATCCAAGTGTCTCAGGGAATATATGGTGCAGAATTCTATACTGTACACTCGAGAAAGAGAGACTAAATGAATCAACCAGGAATAGCTTTTATCGCAACTAAAGAAAAAACCTTGTAGGAATATACAAGCAGCTGACTCTGGCCATTAGTCCTTTGCTTACCAATTTTCTGAATGGTGAATCTTGAAAGTTGAGACAACAGTACTAGATTTCAATGTAAAGTACAATGAATCAATAAAATAATGTTTTCAATTTAGTTTTGTCACTTCTAAACTGCATCTACTTAGGATACAATTGGCCTAGAAAGTGTTGACTGTTTTCAGGAGGATTCTTCCAAACAGTGGTAGTATATGACAACTACATCTTAAGTATCCAGTGAGCTGGACACTATTGTCCAGCCAAACCTTTTTCTGGCATTCCCCAATATTTCTGCTGGTAAACGACTTCCAGATGGGTAGGGAAAGTAAAAGAGCTAACATATATCCCAATCCCATTTAGACGAAGAAGATTCATGCAGAAAAAAAAGGACACCCAGCCCGAGATGATACAGCATCACAAGCCAGTAACATTTCCAGGTGTAGAATATTCTATTTATGGCTTATTTCCTTATTTAGATGATGTTTTATTTTTAGAACAATATGATAGGCATTTATTACTCTAAAATAATCACTAGTTGAATAAATGTTCATAGAATTTGGTAATTTGCTAAATTTTACCTTTTTTCCTAAGCACAGTTATGAATGACCCTTAAATGGTAAGATTCAATGTTCTATATTTTATTCTTTGGAGCTAAACCATCAGAGATGGTAACACTGTTCATAGTGTCAGCCATTGTGGTGGTGATAACAGGCAAGACACGTTGTTGTGGATCTGGTGTCTTGTGACAAATTATGTCTAGGATTATACCGAGTATTTCTCAAAAGCTAGGATCGAATTATACAAGAGATACAGAATATGAAAAACTTAGGATTTTTTTTACCCCAAAAATCAGAGGTAAAACTACATACGAGATTGGTTTATACATGAGTACCGGTATATACAGTATGTACATTATTTGTTCTTACAATTTTCTTATGAAAAACTGTCATAGCTTTTATTAATTAATCTCTCTTACTACAGTAGGCTCTCATATTTGGACATCTATTTAGACTAAATACCTCGCAAAATTCAAATCGTCCAAATTTAAATGCAACTTCCTATGGAGAAAAATTATTTTGAGTCTGGTACTTTCGATGTTTGGCTAAATTTTGCCTTATTTACCCTACCTTTTTGGCAAATTACTCCCTGTAATAGAGCAACATCCTAATAAACCAACGAAAATAACACAGATAAAGTTAAATAAAAGCTAAAACAACACAGAAAAAGTTTATTAAAAAAAAAATTGCCTTGTCAGCCAAACTATATTTTGCATGTTTCTTGCCAACTCTGTACTCCCTTTTTGCCTTTGGTGGTTCTGGGCACTTAGGAGGGTTCCCATTCACACCAGGTTGACCCCCACCACCTACTGGTTCAACACTTGCCATATCAAGGGCGCGAAATTAGCGTCTGAACACAAGATCACCAAGAGATAAAGTTCTGGCTGTCTCAGAGAGTGGGCGGGAAGGAACTAATGGCGCTGCTAGCACCACAAACAACTAAGATAATTTGCAGGAATGAAAATGGCTTGTGACACCAGTAAATGCACAAAGTTCTAGACACTCAAGTGTGAAGAAAAAAATTCCAGCGATTTGAGACCAGCAGACAACCTTTCGCAATTCCTCAATAGATGGCGCTGCCACACCACTGCCATTAGTAAACAAACCGCACAGCAGCAGCCGTTTATTTTTCACCTACTGAGTAAGTAAATAATCGTATTTTTTGCAGTACGGTATATCAACAATATTAGTTAAATCAATTGTTTTATAGTACAGGTTGTACCTCTCTAGTCCGGCATTCTGTGGTCTGGAAACTCCCGTGGTCCGGAACGATTTTAGTTTGTCCAATAGGTAGACAGGCAATTTTTTTTTTTACTTATCTGAATTATTATTATTATTACAGGAGTATTAAATTTTTGCCCCTCAGGCCCCAATGTGGGTCAGTGACCTATGCCCGGGTGGGCTAATCCCCTTAAAAAAAAAAAAAAGCCGCGGGAAATTAAGGTTTGTTTACATCCGGCAGTTCGGCTGCTCTCTCTCTCTGCTTGTCTATACAGAGTACAACATTTAACCCTTCAATATATATGAGCAGTAAATAAGTGTTGCTTTCATATTCTTATGTAGAGTAATGACGATATATTTTCACATGTGCGCACTTACATACGAGCAGTCTCACTTTTTTTTTACCATTAATGGTTAGCTACTTATATTGTTCCATTTATTAACATTAAATAACATTACATGTACTTCAAGCAATCATATTCATTTTTTACATTAATTTTACTACAGCTAAACTCAGGGTCTTATTTTCTTCAGTTTTATATGTAGAACCAATCAGTCACTGGTTTCGTAAGCTTTAACATAAACAATGCCGGCAGCCGTCTCGTCTCTAATATTCCACGTATTATTAATAAATTGTATTGTTAATTTTGCACACACGTACATTGATTCAATAAAAACAAATTCAGAAACATTAAAATATATATGAACAGTAAATAAGTGTTGCTTTCATATTCTTATGTAAAGTAATGACGATATGTTTTCACGTGTGCGCATGCGCACTTACATATGCGATCTCTCTTTTTCTTTACCATTATCGTTAGCTACTTCTATTGTTCCATTTATTAACATTAAATAACATTACTTAAAACAACCATATTAATTTTACTACAGCTACAACCAAGGTCTTATTTTCTTCAGTTTTATATGTAGAACCAGTCAGTCACTGGTTTTGTAATCAACGAAAACAATGCTGTGTCATTTCCTCGTGTGTTTTAATATTCTACGTATTATTAATGAATTGTATGCTCATTTTGCACACATAAACATTAATTCAATAAAAAAGACATTCAGTTATAAACAATAATGAATCTTTTGTACATAAGAGAAATGACGCTGTTTACACGATTATGCATGTTGGCGGGCCGTTTAAACCTCGTCAAAATTCAAGTTTCCGCCGTCAAAATTTTTATTTATTTATTTTTTTGTGTGTTCCAATAAAATATGTTAAGAATTAAAAACTCGCGAAATTTGAGAAGCTACTATACGACATTTAACCCTTCAATATGTCTTCAAAGAGACCATGACGCAGAGAAAGTGGTGCTAGTGCTTCCAGGCATAAGCACAAGTCACTATCTATCCAGGAAAAGGGTGAATTTCCATGGTCCGGCACCGGTCAGGTCCCGAGGTTGCCGGACTAGAGAGGTACAACCTGTACTGTATAGAGAATACTTGTAATTGCTAAGTAATGAGGTAACAGTCTTTGTAAGGGGCTGATTTCAGTTGACCCTAAGAAAACCTCAGCTACAACCCGTCAACTAGCGTCATGGAAGACACTCAAACCCATCAAAATTTGAGTTTCCACCATCGAAATTTTAAATTGTGTCCAAATAAACAACTCGCGAAATTTGAGAGCCAACTGTATTTCACAAAATTGTGTTCCACCCACCAAAAATAAAAGTACAAATAAAGCAAGATCTGTTAGTTGCCAGATACTATTTTCTGACTGAATGTTTCTCGAAATGGTGACATCCTTTATTTGGGTGATTGTACATACCACATGTCCCATAATATGAGGTCAGAAACTGAATGTACCAGCCTGCAGGAACTCAAATTTCACTAAGGTTTGTTTATAACATAATCAACAACATATAGTACATGTAACAGGCAGTCCCCAAGTTATGAACGTCCGACTTACGAACATCCGCCAATATGAACAAGGTTAAACTTTAAATTTACGGTATTTTATTTACCTGGTGACTTATCTTTTACTTTCATTTACTGTATTTTGTCATTCTATTTCTTTTTTTTTCCATAAATTAAGTGATTTTAGATGTATATAAGGTCTTAGGCTATGATATAGTGGGGATTTTAAACATTCTGTACGTACAGTATGCACATAGCATGTGTTTCGACTTATGTACATTCTCAACTTAAAAACATCCCTAGGAATGGAACTCATTCATAACCCGGGGGCTGTAAACCTGCTGGACTACATACAGTGGTCCCTCGGTTAACGAACGCCTCGGTTAACGAAATCCTTACGAAAATCACATTTTGTTTTGAACATCAGCTGATAAGCTGAGGAGGTACTCAGCCAATTCAGTGATCTCTTCTATGTTTACATTCAAACTAATCACTATCTTATAAGAATTCCAGCAATGCAAATTAAATTTACCCCAGTCACTTCTATTAAATTTTATAAGCAAAAAACAAAAAATTAATCTAAAAGAAAGAAAATAATCTAACAATTAAATGCTTCACACCACAGGCTCCAACTGTCAAACATGTCACTGTCACCCCTCCCTCCCTACCCCCTACCCCCCACCTTCCTGAGAAACGTTTGGGTAAAAAGACTAGGTTTATAGGTTTAAAAATAAATAATACCTCAGACTAAAGTTAGGATAATATAATTTGCATTACTGAAATCCTTGCAAGACGGAATAATTTGAATATAAACTTCATATATTTTGCACAAAAGATAAAATTTTTGCTCTCCCTAATAAAATTCTTAAATTAGATCTAAAATTTTTATGTCTAATGCAAATTTTAGCTTGTTTATATTCAAATTAATTACTACCTTATAAGAATTCCAGCAATGTAAATTATATTCTGGCTTTACTTTGTATATACTTTTCTGTGAGATGGAACCAATTACCCAATATCCCATTGAAACAATGGTTTCCGTTAACGAAATTTTCGGTTAACAAATGACCTTCTGGAACGAATTGTGTTCGTTAACTGAGAGACCACTGTATTGAAAATGTCCACATAATATAACTGAAAAATGAGTCTAAATCAACATTTTTCTCTCAGACATTTATCAGGATACAGACCTTATGAATACTTCTGCTACTGTGTTTATATCAATTCTTAAAATGAGAGGCATGAGTAGGTGTCAAATGAAAAATCTTAAAAACACCAGTTACTATCATGTTGATACTTCTGTTAATACTATAACAACTAACTTACCTGTCACCTATTATACAAAAATTCTTAAAAAAGATGTTCTCACCTTCTGCGGGTCTGTGCTACACCATAGTTTCCTGCTTGAAGGACTCCAAAGGTACACTGGTAGCCCATCTTCACCAATACCCGCATTGTCAGTTTGAGGACCATGTTACATTTGTATGATACAAAGTTGCGTACATTTTCAAGAAGGAAGAACCTTGGACGGTAGTAATCACAGAAGGATAGATATGAGGCTACAAGGGAATTCTGTAAGACAATGGATTACATACTTGAAATTCTCATAATAATAACAGTATCTACTGTACACAGTAACATACTCTTACTCTAATATCATAAAAAAATTACAATATCACAACATCTATTGACCTTGAAGAAAAATACGACTAACCTTGAACTGTGAATACTGGCGAGAGTTGAATCTATTCATTCCGGAGAATCCCTGGCAAGGTGGACCACCACAAAGCATCTCTACATCACCCTTCTGAGGCAGGCGCTGACCTTTGCTGTTCATATTCTCGTTCTATGGAAATTATAACCAAAATTATGAGAACAAGTTTAATAATTGAGTTAACAACTGCTATCTACCATATCTGCTTATTTATTTCTAAGAAAACTGACTCTCAATGATAATAATGTTCAACATATATTAATCGATATGATATTTAGTGGAACTTAATTTTATGTTGACTACTTTGATATGTTAATAAATAAACAATAATATTCACAATATTATCATTAACTGAAATCCCAAATATCAACAAGGATCCTCCTCTCCCTATAGCCAAAGTACCTATGCAATACTCTGTTCATCTGTGCACATAAACCCGAGTCACAGTTTGAAAAGTAAAAATTATGTAGAGTCAAACATAGAAACAGTGTGTAATATTAGTTTGTGGGCATATTCAGTGTAAGATAGAAATGTGATAAAATCACAAAGACATTCCCTGCAAGATGTGTACATATCAGTGAACATTGACTTTGGGGTTATGCAAGTTTATGAATTTTTATGTGAAATATCTTTAATCAGTTAAATTACAGTGCACACACTGATTTAATGACAAAAAGACACAGAGAACCCATCTGTCTGGCATCTTCATTGCAGGATCCTAAAAATAAATTAAAATTAGTTCCCTAAATGGGTCTCAGGAGTTACACGACCATTAACAATACACCATGTTTCCAATATACCCTTACCTCCATAACCATCTTGAGAAGAAGATTACAGTCATCAGAGAAGACTGTAGCATTTGGATTATTGAGTTTATAAGCCCGTGCAGCTGGCTCAAATACCTCAACTGCCCATTTTGCTTCACTTATTCCAGCCTGATGGAAACCCTCTGAAAGACCTGTCAACAAAAATAGATTTGACATTAACAAACTTGTGTGTACATACAAAGAGTAACATTCAGGGTAACACTTTTAAATGTTATTTGTACTGTAAATTGTTTCCACCTGGGAATTAAGCAATGTGTCTGTGCAGGTGGGGTCCTGGGGCACTGCCCTCCTGTAGGAAAATTAGTATAGATCCAAGATGCATTAACAGTGCTCTCCTGAGACAAAGTTGTAGCAGATATTGAATGTTAAATCTTGCTGCTTTGATCCAAATACCAACTAAAACACTACACATTGTAATTAACATGTTACACTATGGGAAGCACACAAGTATGTTGATATTAATAAAAGTTGTTTTCTCAACACTTTCTTAGTACACAGCAAGTAGCCCCCTGCCTCCCCCTTAACTTTTCTCGTCAAATCTATGAACATCTCAGAAATGCCCCAAAGTGACCCAAAACCCAGATATCTATACCCACTCAGAAAAAAATCTTCAGGCCTCTTTATTAAAGTAATTTACAAAAGAGGTGAGTTTATGCCTCATATAAATTTCTAATATATCACAGGTAAACAGATAAAAATTCAACAAACATGTATAATCACCAATTATAGTGCAGTGGTCCCTCGGTTAACGAACGCCTCGGTTAACGAAATTTCGGTTAACGAACTGCCTCCCATAAGATTCTTAAATTCGGTTAACGAACAAAAATTCGGTTAACGAATTTCTTACGAACCGACCTCAACATGTTTTCGCTTGCACTGGCCGGTCAACCAGCTTTAGTATTAGTCCGCCAATACAGTAATCGGTTCTAGGGCTTAAATTCCTTACTATTTTAGTAAATATCAAAAAGTTTATACTATTCAATCATTTTAAAAGTTTAATATTCAATTTTTTAGTCATTTTAACAATTATTGAACATAATTGAAGGTAAAGTGACTAGTTTAATGCGCGGCATCCAGCCTCTTAACACAGCAAACAGGCGTTAGTCTCTCTCTGCTTTCACTGGAGGTAACATCTTGCTTGAGACTCTCTTCAGCTAAACGCTATTTTTCTGTGTTTCCAAGCAAATTATTGGTCATTTTGAAATATATTTTACATATTGACAATATATAATGCAGTGCAGTGTTGATTTAAAGAAAATAATCTTGAAATACACTAAGAGAACTAAAATTTTATGGGTGAAATGGTGCCATGGGGTGACTTCTCTTACACCCCAATGCCTTCTCTTCTTCCTTCTCCTCCACCTCCATTCTAATTCCCATCATCATCATCATCCAGGAGCCTTCTACATACACACCTCAAAGTAAGTGAACTTTTCTACCATTTTTGTTGAATTTAGGCAATTTTCGGTGAGCTGGAACCAATTACCCAAAAACCCATTGAAACAATGGTTTCGGTTAACGAATTTTTCAGTTAACGAACAACCTGCTGGAACGGATTGTGTTCGTTAACCGAGGGACCACTGTACACTATGAAGTTTGCCTCCTTCCTAAATAACTTACGTGTAACACATAACTAACCAAGATGAGGACATGGATGTTGACACTGTGGGAATCAATATAAGTTCTTTCAATAAACTCTTGAGAAAAATAAATTCAGCTCTACTTTTTAGACAATGTAAATTTGTCTCTACTTTCCAGAGGAAAATTCAATCCTTTACTTTCTAGTTGCAAATTAAATGTCTCTACTTTTTACAGAAAAATTGATTCTCTATTTTTTTTAATTAAATCCTTCAACTTTCCACTGTAAAAGAGAATCTTTCTTTACTTTTATGAAGACATATTAAATCTAATACAGTACAACATTCTAGAAAGCAAGTGAGTACATGTATGTATATGTATGTGTAAGTTCAAAACGTTTAAGGCATATCCCACATCTCCCTTACAGTAAGGCTTCTAAAGGTAACTACTTATCACAGGTTGAGACTCTCAGTTCTTGATTACCTAATCCAAAAATGGAGGGACTATGTTTTCATCCTGGAATCTGTGTCTGTGTTGGGGTCTCATTTGGACAGTGTTAGATCCATTTGTCTTGATTTTATTTCTCGTTTAAGAATATTAATTTATGCTATATGTATAGGGCACTTGGATGTTCTTTTGACAACTGATATTGCTTGTTCATACCTGAAAGTCTTAAATAGCATAAAAAATTCTACCATAATCTATGGGACAATGGCTTATATAATCTGAGGCATTTCTATCCCTGAAGAAGTGTTTCTCAGCAAAATACAGAACCTGTTTGCATATGAAATGAAAAGAAGATAATGTGAACCTGTCATACTACCACTAAATCACAGAAATTTTATTGGATATGTTCCTACTCTAATGCTTCTATTATAAACACTTATTTACACTAAAAAAAATACATCCTCTTACCTCCAACACCAGCAAAGACATCAAGAGTCTGCAGTTTGCGTGATACTGGTGGATACTCTTCAAAGCCTTGGAAGGTGTTCCTCTCACTTGAGTCATCTGAACTTTTTCCTTTGCCCTTTCCTTTGCCCTTTCCTTTGCCCTATGGGAACAGCAGCAATTAGGACATCAAACATTAATAAAAACCAGACTGCATCTATCCAATTTGAAAATATGTGATTACTAATCAGTAGAACAAAATTATTAAAATGTTCCTGACAATGGTATGTACTGTAGTATGAAAAGGCCACCTCTGATGTAATGGTCAGCATACCCACCTGGCAAGCGAGTGGTTCTGGGTTTGATCCCAAGAAAGGGTGAAACTTTGGGCAATCTTCTTTACACTGTTTACATCTGTCTACCGAGTAGTAATTGAAAATCTGGATGTTAAGTGACCGGTACAGTGGTCCCTCGGTTAACGAATGCCTTGGTTAACGAAATTTCGGTTAACAAATTACCTTCCATAAGAATCTTCAATTCGGTTAACGAAAAAAAATTTGATTAACGAAATCCTTACGAAAATCACGTTTTGTTTTGAACATCAGCTGATAAGCTGTGGAGGTATTCAGCCAATTCAGTAATCTCTTCTATGTTTACATTCGTTTCCAATGGAATAAATATCAAGAAAATTGTGCTCTTTAATATTTGTGCATTTTTATACAGTATTAAAATTATTGGTCATTCAAAAATTTAGCCATCCAAGCTCTGTCTAGTACATAAAGTTTTTCAACTATTATTTTTGGCTCGATATATGTAACTTTATTCATTTATTGAAACTCATTTACATGCACACACTGTCCTAAGGGCAAAGCTGAACTGTACAGAATGATGAACAAAATGATTACTAAAATTTTTGTCTAGTGCAAACTATAGCATGTTTACATTCAAATTAATCACTATCTTATAAGAATTCCAGCAATGTAAATTATATTCTCCCTGGTCACTTCTATGAAATTTTATCAGCAAAAAACAAAAACTCAATCTAAAGGACATAAATTGATAATTAAAAACTTCACACCTCTGTGCCAACAGTCAAACATGTCATTGTCACCCCTGCCACTCCCCCCTCCTCCCAGCAAGGCTTGTTTGGTGGTTAAACTGTACAGTAGTACGCTTTAAATTTTTATCTCATATAATATCACACTCTAAAGTTAGGAGAATATAATTTGCATTGCTGGAATCCTTGCAAGACCGCGAATAATTTGAATATAAACGTCATATATTTTGCACAAGAGATAAAAATTAATCACCTGTATCACATTACAGTAGTGATTTAAGAGTAAGAGTGTATATGTACGTAAATATATACTGTACTGTAGTGATTTAAGGGCGATTTAGGGGAATTTTAGGAGTGTTTCTGACTTTATGCATTTTTGGCTTTACTTTGTATATACTTTTCTGTGAGCTGGAACCAATTACCCAATATCCCATTGAAACAATGGTTTCAGTCAACGAAATTTTCGGTTAACGAACGACCCTCTGGAACGAATTGAGTTTGTTAACCGAGGGACCACTGTATATCATGCAATGTGGTAATGGTTAGATGTATGCCAATACCAAAATTCTGGCCGATACTGATAGTACTCATATTTGTCCAACAACAATTAATAGTCAATGAAAAAAAGCTTGCTGTCATTTAAGGAATAAATCCATGTTTTTTTTTCTTTTAACTTATGCACTAGAGCAATAAACATACCTTGCCTATGCCTCCCATTGCCTGAGCTCTAGCTGGAGGTTCTGTAAATGACTTCTCCTTTGCATTATATGCCTGTGCAAAGAAGAACCTATTTGGCCCTTCATTCATGTGGTCATCTACTGTCTTGTTTCCTAGATTTTCCAGGTAAGACACAAAACATTTGCCAGCCACCTCACCAAAGGTTATATAAGTCTCTGTGTACAGAAATTAAAAGTGTTAAAAGTTTTGCATTAAATTTCATTGTTGAAGATAGTTAAACCATTACATAACATATACAGTAGAGTAAATGATATTGTCAGATTCAAAGGTTAAATATCCAAAACTGTATGGGAGCATCTGCAAACCCTGGATTAAAATTTCCATGACCCCACTAAATATTTTGAGGACCCAGAAGCCTAGCATAAGTTAAGGGGTCATCATGTATTTGCTTTTACATAAGATTAATACCAACTAAAAGACTGATTATTTTCTTTCAAGCCTCTCCCTCTTATAATGCAGGGTAGCTGGACAACAAATAATAACAGACAGACTCACTTCACTATTAGCCATTTATTCATTCTTACCACTGTAATAGATGCATTCTGCTATGTAGCCTTCATCAGCTAAATAAAATCAATTGAATTGTGCCAGTTAAGAAACACAACTACCACGGTGAATATGACATGCATCAGTCACATGGGTGAGCATTACCCAAGGAAAAACTGTCCTGTTGGCACCAGTCATCTATATGATAAGCATTTAAGGTTAGTCTTTGATTACCTCAGAGAGTTATGGCCCTGCCTGACATGTTCCCATCCTGAGGATTGGCATTAAGGAAAGGCATCCAACCATAAAACTTTGTTTCAAAATGTCTGATGGCAACTAGGCCACCAGAGCTGTGCCCATCCCCTGGTCTATGCAGCATTTTTTAGGCTAGTACCCAGGGACTGCAGTTGTGAACTAGAGGGGACTTTCCATTCTGATTTTACCCAACAGCTGCCATCAGGAACTGCAGCTAACCCACATATGCATGGAAAATAGCAGTAAAATGTTGATGATAATGCAAAGAAAACATTATTAGTCCCTCTTCAGTGGAGTAAGGACATTTTTGTTCTTGTTCAATATGCAACCTCTCAAAAACTGAGTACCTGACCAAAAGGTCTGATGTTTAGAGTATTCTGCAATACTACACTCAAGGTCAGTTGTTAATTTTTAAACATGAACACTCTATAATCGCTCTGCATTTTCTTGTGCATTAACAGAAACAACTTAGAACTTGAAGTGGGGAGCCTTACCTTCATCACTCCAATAAAGTTGATTTAATTCTGCCTGGTAGGAAGCACAAATACCACGGTGAGTATTCTCTGGGCGATAAAACTTGTTTACCTTAACAGAAACATCACTGGGACTCAATACTGTTCCTGAAATATGCAAGAGAACAATTAAGCTTTTGGTTGCACATGTGTCATTTGCCTCACATGTATATTCAGAAATAAAGATACCTACTGCCATACTACAGTTTATTCATTTTATGCACATCTGAGAGTAATAGAACTTGATAAATGGGGTTCTGAGAGAATATAAATCACAGCTATTTTTTCCCAAATGACAAACCAATACCAAACAACATCACAAGTCTGTCTTGAGCTCACCTACAAACAATTAAAATACAAAGAACCTCTACTCATCTTTGCTGTTACATCTACAGCTTAATTTCTCTATACTGATATTCCTTGACATACTGTACCACACCTGTCTTGTAGTCCTGTGACTTCTGAATGGTGGGTAAATAAAACTTGCCTGGCAGCATATCTTTACAGCCCCAAGACTCACTAATCCAAATGATGAGTGGCTGTTCTGTATCCACATGCACATAAAAACTTCAATCTTATCAAATAAACTTTTGCCATTTGTGTTGCAAAATCATAAAAACTGAAGTGTCTCTTATCATCCCAAAAGGCTGTGAACTATAAAATTAGCTTCAATTTCATTCCTTTATTGAATGGGGTTATCATTCCACCTGATACCCTGATACTAACTTTTTACAACTTAATATTATTATTAACAACCTTACAAACTAAATATAAAAAACAAAAGTTAGCTAAAAGTTATACAATAATTTCCTTTACCTGATAATTTTGGAGAAATGCTGAGAATTCTTGCAATTCTAAATGGTTCTGGTGTTGACTCATTGGACCCTTTCACACGATCTGATGATTTCCTATAGTATTCTGGGTACATTTCTTCATCCACATTCTTCCTCTTCTCTTCTTTTTGGGGAGGTGGAGCTGGTTTAACCTTTTGAGTAAATGAACATGACTTTCTTCTATAATGTAAGAAGACAAGTAGTCCATATGATATGAAACCTTAACAAAATAAATTAATCCCCAACATCATGCCTATGAAGTAGAGTAAGGTTTCATATTCTGGTGAAGGAAATAAACCAAACATTACTCCCTTGTGCTATTTCTAATCCCCACAACTTCACTGCCTAAATGTCTCCACATGTCAGTTTTCTATATTCAAGTCTATTACTTCACCCATACCCTCCCCCCATCCGACACTCTTAAGCCTATTCCCACTATAATGGAAGGTGGCCCGATTAGGAAATATTGTACTGTACAGACATTCTCTTCATTCACTGCTATTCATGCACTCCTACTGTTGCAACATGCATATTTCTATGGCATTTTCCCCTCCACAACTAGGAGCTTCATACAGTATTTAGTTCAATGCCATTATAATACTTCACAATCTAGTAGTACATTATTCTCCCCCACCCCACCCCCTACAAAAAAAATGTACAGTACTAAATTTAAGCATGATTGTCCCTGCTAGTAATATTACATCCTTCACTCCAGCCTTCTACTTATTCTTGGTCTTACTTCCTTGCTCCTAAAATTCAATTATGAACTTTATACTGTACTGTACTATTCAATTTAAGATTATTGATTCAAAACAACACCCACAAATAAGGACAATGTTTTAATTGAAAGCGAATCTTTCCTATTTTGCGCGAGTCAAACTGGCGCATCATTTTTAAAATTTTGCGTCCAATGTTTCTCTGGGCACGCTACACTGTCCTAAGGGCAAAGCTGTACTGTACATGCAATCAAAATAATGTACTAAATGATTACTAAAATTTTTGTCTAGTGCAAACTATAGCATGTTTATATTCAAATAAATCATTTTCTTATAAGAATTCCAGCAATGTAAATTTATTCTCCCCGGTCACTTGTGACATTTTATAAACAAAAAACAAAAAACAAAAACTCGATCTAAAGGACATAAATAAAGAAATAAATACTTCACTAGACCTTCGGTGCCAACTGTCAAACATGTCACTGTCACCCACCACCCCCATCTTCCCAGCCAGGGTTTGGTGTTTTAGGCTTAAAGTTTTTATTTTATATGTCACAGACTAAAGTTAGGAGAATATAATTTGTATTGCTGGAATCCTTGCAAGGCATCGAATAATTTGAATATAAACGTCATATATTTTGCACGCTAAAAATTTTTGGTCTTTGCAAAAAAAATTCTTAAATTAGAACTAAAATGTGTATGTCTAATGCGAGCTATAGCATGTTTATATTTAAATTAATCACTACCTTATAAGAATTCCAGCAAAGTTAATTATATTCTCCCATGTCAGTTCAGTGACATTTTATAAGAGAAAAACTTAAAGTCACTCTTAAGGACAGATAAATAAATAAGCACTAGACCTTGGCATCAACTGTCAAACATATCACCTCATCCCCCCCCCCCCCATCTTCCCAGCCAGTAAACAGACCATTTCACATCCCTTAATTTTAGCTGTGTTGATGTATGAGTGTTTGTTTTAACATAATACGATAAAAAACAATGTTTTGTTTATTCTAGGAGATTGGCTGAGGTGCATCTGGGTAGACTCAGTCTTTTTAGTATTTTGTGTTTCTCTCAAGTACCAAACTAAATTTTTCCATTGAAACAACACTTTGACTTAGTGCGAATTCGGTTTAAAACAACCTCTCTTGGAACCTATCTCGTGTTATATCAACGTTCTATTGTACTGTATCACTCAATCCACTTCTCTGCACATCACTTCTTTCATTCCCAAGTCATCTTATTTCTCTGTTATTTTCTGAATACTAATTACCCAATGCAATAATCATTTTGTTCACAAACACATCCTTTCTGTTAGTCACATGATGGCAAAGCTCTAAAAATTACTTCACTTATCAACAACACTTACCCTGAAATCAAATGCACCTGGATTCACAAAGAGGCAATCTCCAACAGCATAATCATTGCCCAAGTAACATAATGATACATAACAGTTCTAGGGAGAAGAAAGTACAGTATAAGTATCAAGTAAAATTAATTACCTAATAATATCACATAAAAATGGTCAAATACAAGAAAACATATAATTAATGGGAGAAACATTAAAAATAATACAAAATCAAAGGTGGCAATACCCTATTTCCTTTCTTTTTTTGCAAACTCAAGAAAACTGTGTTGAGTGATTGAGAGGAAGGAAATGAGGATAAATCATACAGCAGAGGTTACATATTACTCTAATATGGCCAAGAGCTGACAACTGACCACTGTTTGCAAGGATATTGTTTGGAGGACCATAATTATATACAGTATATTAAAATCTTCATCAGCACAGCCCATCAGGCATTGTGTAGAGAGATGAATCGATGGCTCCCAGGTTAAATTGTCAGAAGAAACTAACTGAATATCTAGTGTCACTACTCAGGGGGTTGTGGAGGTTACAAAAGAAAAACAACGATGAAGACCGAGAAAAATAATGAAAATAACTACTTCGAAGTACTGTACCTGATCCTGTGCAGCCTCACTCTCCACCTTTTTACCCATTACACACATTTCTCGCAGCTCTGCTTTTTTTATTCGAGCACAAGAAACGCAGTAGCGGTGCTTGACGCTCTCCTTGGGTATCTGTTAATATTTCATTTATCAGTATCAATAATATTCATATTAATGTTTTTGGTTCTTAAACTTAAGCATGAAGGTATTATCAATTCATTAATGTACTAAATAATATGGTTTTGCAAATGATTTTAAGACATTTTTACTTTAAATTTCTCACTGCTGAACTCGTGTGAAAAAATATACTGTACAGTACTCAGGGGTGGATCCAGTAATATCAGAAAGGAGGGGGGGGGGTGCCGTAAGGCCCTACCCCAGATTTTTCTTTTTTAATTCTGAGCAATATCATGGGCATTTTGAGGCCAGGGGCACTTGACATTAGGAGATATTCTGAGGTCAAATAAGTACTTGTTACTTTACAAAAATGCCTAAGTACAATATACTGCATTAAAGAAAAAGTATTGGAATTTTAAGATGAAAAATAAGGGAAGGGGAGGGGAGGGGCCCAACCCCCCCCCCCCCTTACTCAATATTTAACTAGTGAATCTTAAGAGGAATTTGAGTGATATGGAATACTATGGTGGTGGTGGTGAGGTAGCTCTTACTAGTCATATGTCCACCCATGGGATAAGAGTTTCTTTTAATCCCCCTGATCTCTGAACTATTAAGGTGTGAATCATGAATTTAAGGTAATCTTTTTCCTTTTTTTTTACTCCTGTTTTTACACTGTTCTCAAAGGGTTAATACATAACACATCATTCCATTTATTGGTACATCCACTCCCAGATACCTGAAACACTCCACTTTCTCCCTACTACATGTTGACTTATTTCTCTCTCCATCCTCACTTTTTCATCACATCACCCCTTTCTTCATTATCCTGTTTTGGTTATATTTTTGATGATTGCATTATCAGTATAGAAAATTGCATAAGTAACACTAAAATATCAGGTCTAGTAAGACTTGACTGGCAAAGGGTACTTTCACGAGTAACCAGAATTCTCCCAACCAATTAATCTAATTCACGGAGGCTTTATAAAGCTGCCAATAACATATGCACATAGTTGAATATGATATGCAATTTTGAATTTCAAATTATATATACAAACATCTTCATCTGTTGGAATATCTTCAATGCGGCCATACTGGGGGTGGTACATCTTCTGATACCAATACTGACTGCCATCATCCGTCTTCACTGGGTAGTACACCTCTGGGTCTGTCACTCCTCCTAGATCTTTCCAATTGGATGGTGGTTCATAATAAACCACTGTGACCTTTAAAGTAAAAGACACTTGAAATAAATTCATCCCTTGATTGGTCAAAGTATTTTATGTAGTACAGTACGAGTAGTTAAATACTACCTTATTTTTTCTGGGGTGTCATTCATGGTACAAAAAATTTTGCAGCAAAAATTACCTGTACAGCATTACAAAATAAAAATAAAACTTATAAATTTGGAAACTGGAAACTGATGGTTTTTTGTATTATACACTCGCAACAAAAAGTATCGGTGCATACTGTAGTGTGAACAATTTGAGACCAGTCACGATAGGTATTGGGAAAGGCGAGTTGTTCCAGCTGTATGTTGGCAGCCCTGATTGTCAGCCATATGGCAACACCTAGTAGAGGGGAGGGGGGGTTATGAGGATACACTTACCAACCTTTCCGACATATCACAGTGTATACGTATCGTTTCGGAACTCGTCGATCTCACCCTGCACTCATAATTTTTGGTGCGAGTGTACATACCACCTTAAAACTTTTCCTTATTTTTTCTAAACAAATACCTATCATAATTATACTGTGAAAAGAATAGAATGGAAATAATGACATCCAGCGGATGATTGCATACATTACTCAATACTTCTGCAGTCAATAAGGTAACAGAAGAGATGAAAAGTATGTAAAATTAAGGGGTAAACTGCATATGCTGTAAATTAATACAGTATGTTATACATAAAAGTGAATCAATACACACCTTTTTCATAATAGAATCTAGAAGAGTATCTTCACAGTCATCACTAATGAAGAGTTCTAAGGGGTCAGCAGTTTCACCAAGAATTGTGTCACTCCCTCTACAGTACCAGTCAGCATGGAAGTACTTTTCTCCACTTCCATTCTCCCACATGTGGTTGATGCGAGCTATGAATACTGGGATCTTTGAGTCATCTGGTTCAACCATAACGTTGTCATTAATGTGGAATTCCTCATCCTCAATCATCACTGACTTGTAATAAGTTCTCTTCCCCTCTTTGATGATGGGATCCCCAATCCAAGATATGCGATGTGTGTGTTTTCGTATACGATGTAACTTGGGTTTAGATGGCGTTACTTCTCCAAGTGTAATACCATCAAGATCCTCATGGTCATCATCATCATCAGCTTCTGCCACAACCATGTTTGGACATCTGCGTTCCTTGCAGCACTGTTTTGACTTCCCAGATCCACCAAACTTTACCAGGTCCTTACAATTAATACATTGTCCACAGTCTTGTTTTTGGCAAGCTTCACAAACACCACATCGTAGTCTTCGGTGAGCAGGTAGATTCACTGTATCAGTTTCAATTTGCCCGGAGAAAAAGGATTCAAACAAGTTTTTTACTAGTGGTGTAGTGGTTGCTTTGGTCCATTTTGGCATTTTAACAACTTTGAGTTTTGGACCAGTACGTCTTAAGGCTCGCCTCTTGCCTAAAATAACACCAGATAATCTGATGAGTGATCGAACACAAGATGAGGCTATCAACATGTTGTCTCCTTCTTCATCTCCAGCGGAGTCAAAATTGTGAACCTGAATAAATAAATAAATAAATAAATAAATAAATAAATAAATAAATAAATAAATAAATAAATAAATAAATAAATAAATAAATAAATAAATAAATAAATAAATAAATAAATAAATAAATAAATAAATAAATATAATATATATATATATATATATATATATATATATATATATATATATATATATATATATATATATATATATATATATATATATATATATATATATATATATATATATATATATATATATATATATCTGTACGATTCATTTCTTGGTCAGTGAGGAGGACTGGGTTCCTTCCTTATACTGTACACTAACCCCTATACACCCAGCAATGAAATGAGTACACAATCAGGTGCACTTGCCAAGAGTGGGATAACCCCTGCATAGACTAGCAATCTAGCATGCTACCAAGAAGGTTGGGTAATCCTCCTGCTTGACCAACCAGGATTATAGCAGGAAAAGGACTGCCTGTATTTGTAGTGCTCACTTATAACACAATCCATTATACCTCATATAATGCCTGTCCTACAATCAAATTAAAATGGATAAAAAAAATTGCTGATATCACATCAGCAACAAAAGATTTCCTTTTACAGTTTAAGAAAAAATCTCACTCTAGATGATTTTGGTACACAATAATATCCAATTGAAAGCTCAGGTTGCATTCCTAGAGATGAAACTTTATTGCACATATTTTGCCTTACCTGATCACAAATGAATTGTGCATGTCTTAGTAGTGTATCTTCAGATAAAACAGATATGCCACTTGGGGGCACAGTTGTCTCCAGCTTGTTCAACAAATCTTCATAGGAAGCATCATCGTTGCTAGCCAAAAACTCAATCACAACTTTGCTAAGATAAATCTTCTCCCGCACAGCATCAACAAACGGGGCAAAGACATCACTTGGATTCATGAGGATGTATTCCGCATAAGCAGTAGAGAATCCTATCAAGGCTTTTTCACCTGCAAGAGTATTTGGTGATTAAGACTTGTCCAAGCACTTTGTTTACATGATGTTTATTTATAAAAATAAAAGTAAATCTAGTTTCCTTAGGTGTGTCTGAATGACTGGACAGTATGTCATGAAGTGGTTATGAGAATTAATGTTCTACTGGTGGGTGATGCCACAGGAGGAGAAACCCAAAACATCTTAAAATACTGTACATGTACTATAAAACACTGATGTGCTGTACACAATGATTATTAGACAATTGTACAGTTAGTAAGTGAAATACATGCAGTAGTACAGTACAGTAATAGTTTTATACCTGTACTGTACTTAAAGAGAAGCAGGACAAGATTTGAAATAAAGTGAACAATATGAAATGCTAAGGCAACATCATTAATAATTATACTACCCTAGTAATACAAGGACTGATAAATTCTCTATGAAGAGAGAAATCAAAATCCCACCCCAGACCCCTGATGAATGTGTCATCCCAAATTCTCACCTTGTTAGCATGGTGCCAACAGTGTGGTCACAGATGCCTTTAGCCACTACAGTACCAGCATCAGGGCTAGTGTGCTCTGTGATCTTTATTAAATATTGAATTTATTTTGCTTTCATGAAGCCTTCAAACAACCACAAAAATTATAGAACTAAGTTTAATACAGTAGAACGTCGATAGGTTCCAAGAGAGGTTGCTTTAAACCGAATTCGCATTAAATCGAAATGTTGTTTCAACGGAATAATTTAGTTTGCTACTTGAGAGAAACACAAAATACTAAAAAGACTGACAGTCTACCCAGATGCACCTCAGCCCGTCTCCTAGAATAAACAAAACCTTGTTTATGGGACGTGAAATGATCTGTTCACTAGCGATCAGCTGACGGGAAGATGGGGGGGGGGGAGGTGAGGTGATATGTTTGACAGTTGATGCCAAGGTCTAGTGCTTATTTATTTATCTGACCTTAAGAGTGACTAAGCTTTTATCTTATAAAATGTCACTGAACTAACATGCTCTAATTAATTTTATTACAAAGGGCTAAATTTTTTATCTCTTGTGCAAAAAATATGATATTTATATTCAAATTATATTCTCCAAACTTTAGTCTGTGATATTAAATAAGATAAAAACTGTAAGCCTATAACCACCAAACCCTGGCTGGGAAGATGGGAGGGAGGAGGGGAGGGAAGGAGGGGAGGGGGGGACGGGAGGGAGGTGACAGTGACATGTTTGACAATTGGCGCCGAAGATCTAGTGAAGTATTTATTTGTCTATTTATGTCCTTTAGATTGAGATTTTTTTTGTTTATAAAATGTCACACAAGTGACCGGGGAGAATATAACTTACATTGTTGGAATTCTTATAAGATGTGATTAATTTGAATATAAACATGCTATACAGTAATTTGCACTAGACAAAAAATTTTGTAATCATTAAGTACATTATTTGGAGTACATGTAGAGTACAGCTTTGCCCCTAGGACAGTGTAGCGTGCCCAGAGAAACATTAGGTGTGAATTTTAAAAATTGATGCGCCAGATTGACTCGTGCAAAATAGGAAAGATTAGCTTTAAATTAAAACATTGTCCTAAATTGTGGGCGTCGCTTTAAATCAATAATCTTAAATTGAATCGCTTTAAATCAACGTTCTACTGTAGTGCTAAAAGAAAACAAAGTGATGAATATAAAAAAATAAAAGTGGAAATTGTGTGAAAGCTGGAACAAGGGCAGTCTATGAGGAACTGTAGCCTCCAAACTCGTCACAGCAACATAGCGCCTCGGTAATGGAGCACCTGCACTACACTCCCCCCTCCCGCTAAGCCTACTAACTTTTGCACAGAAAGAAATGTTTACTCCCTTTATGTTTTTGACCTTACGATTGTTATTTCTTTTACTTTTTCAGCACATTATGTATGAAGGAATGTGTGCATGTAACTGAATAAAAAAAAATTAAGAAAGTTAAGTACAGTATATCCACACGAAATTAATTATAAGAGCAAGGAAGAAATGAAAAGAGAAACCTTCAAGAATTCATGACCATATGAGTAAGAAAAAGATACATGGCAAAAAATACTAAAATTTGGGTAGAAGGTAATAGGAAATAAATTTATTATGACATTGTATCAATGTAAAAGAACACATGCTAGACAATAATCACTATACAGTAGGTACTGCATATACATCTTTTATCACCAATATTTTCTAAAAACAATGATTGCCTCACCTCCATCAAAGCCAGAAATCCACCATTCATTGATGGGACCCAATTCTTTTGCGGGAATTCCACCGTCAACTGATGGATCCTCATCATATATGGGTTTAACATAACCAGAGAAGTAGAGCAGAACATTGCGCTCAATAAGACCTCCATCAAATGGACAAAGGTGACCTTTTTTGTCATACACACTGCATAATAAGAAATTCATTAGTCTTTTAAGCTTGAAAATTTATTTCACAGACATCAGCAAAATTTATTTTTTTTTAGAGAGTTTACCAATTTACATATCATGCAAATTAAATTCCTTATCAAATAACAGTAGCCTCAGGTTATTTTGCACTTTTTTTTTCAATATTTTTATTTTGCAGTTACCTTAGTTACTGCCATTTTCCTATATTGTACATTGCCAGTCAATGACATCACATTTAGTCTATTGTAAGAAATAAAACAATAGATTAATGAAGAAAGCTTGATTAAAATATCATATCTTGATAACCACAATGTTTTTATCATCTACACTCTATGTTGTGGGTAGTAACTGTTTGGATGCCATTCTGAACAGCTAAACATATGTACAGCCAAGCACTGACACAATAGCTCCAATGTTTACATCTTGGATGGAGTTAATTTCATCCATGTGGCTTTTCATTAGATAAGAATACATTTACCTTACAAAGGAAAATTTCCTCAATTTGCTGGTTAACCTGCATAACTGTCATCCAGTAGAATACAGTATTACCACTGAATCTATGTGTCATTGGGTCTGTCAGAGGCAACAAGGATGTTTTTTATTTTTTGTTGTTGTACAATTCTCTTTTTTTTTTCCAAGGTGCACCAGAAGATAGTACATTTCTTGGTTGTGTTTAGTAAGCAAATAACCCATTAAAATTTTGGGGGAAGAATTTCTGGGGGCTTCCAATCCCTAACCCTTTATTTTTTATTGAATTACATGCATCTTTATTTCGCAATTTCTTAATTTGCAAATGTTCTTGGTCCCTATCTTACGAAATAACTCGAGGCTACTGTATAATGAAAACTAAAGTTCTTTCTTCACACTGGCCAAAAAAAAAAAAAAAAATGTATCTTCTACTTACTTAAAACCAGTGATCTTATGCTGTGGCCTTTCATCATATTCATTAATAGTTTCTTCCTCTCCAGTAAAAAGTGAGAGCTTGGGGTTAGTGAGTGCAATAAATTCTTCCACTGCACCTTCTGGGTGTCCCGGGAAGAGGAGAAGGTCAGGACTATCTAGGTGCTGCCGACACACTTCACAACGACTCCACAAACCTTCAGCGGGCTGGGGAATGCTGGCACAGGAAGAGAAATATATTTAATACATTTCATGTCTCTACAACTTACATGAACTATTTTATTTCAATCTTAATTACTTTTCCGATATAACAGAACATGGTATATCAGACAAACTCACTTTTGCTTGTATGGTGGCAAAGGAAACACATAACCGAGATGTCAGGACTAAGGTTGTCTCTCTGACCCTGTTTCTTTTGCTAACATACAACCACTTGTCCAGAAGAATACTACACAAACTCATTTGGGCTACTAATGCTTATACAGTATAGCCTAGTCATCTGGAAACTGCTTTTAATACTAGAGCACATCCCTGTAAATCCATGAGTGTAAATTAGGAGATTAAATTGAGAAAGTTTGATACCTGTCAACACTAGTCAACAAACAAAACAAAATAAGGATTTTTTTTTTCCTATACCCTAACCTTTGTGGTTGGTCTTCAACGTTCTGTTTAATTCCAACTTTCTGCCTTTTCTCATCAGGTTCATCTACTTCTGTTGGTTCTTTTACTTCTTCCATTATATTAGGTTGCTCACACTTGCGCTTACTGTTAATAGATGAAAACAAGTCAGCTACAGACTTCTGTGTACCTCTCCCATTCTGGGAACTTCGCCTTCGAGTCTGAGAACCTCCTGCAAATGCATTGTTTAGAGTAAGATGACAAAAATTAAATAATGAACTCCTCGTGATGTAATTGAATAATCTTGCATACCTACTGTATATTATTCTAAATTAATACACACAACAGGTTAAAAAAAAAGTAGTATTTCTGTCATGAATTACAGTACATTACTATGATGAAAAGTGCTATAGCAAAATGGTGTGTTTTGACCCACTCACACTGACCCTATTGTGACCCAGGAGCCCTCCCTCCCCGAATACATATAATTTTGCAAAGATATCGTTGCTAATTGAAGAATGCAACAAAAATTTCCCTCACCAACATCTTTGTATCGTTCTGTCAGTTTTTACTCAGTTGACTTAGTATAAACAACATCAGTACAGTACTTGAATCTCAGTCCCATTGTGTTCTATCATGCTGTGAATAGTGGTTGATCTTCATATTCAGCATCAACTACGGCATATCTGGATTTTTCCTTCCAATTGTTCAATACTGTACTTATATAAAGCATAGTAAACAAGGTGAACTCACCCACTTCTCCAGGTAAGATAAATAAATTTATTGCTTGGAGGTTACAGGTTAAATCTTTTAAAAATAATGTTTAAAATTACAGTACAAAATGCTTTTTTCACTAAAACTGCATATACTGTATATACAGTACACTAAAAATGTTTTACTGTTTGAGTCATTGCTTAATAACATCACAAATACTTTTTCTATTCTACAAAAGAAAAAACTTAAAAACCCAATCCCTATTCCTTTTTACAGGGGGTCCCTGGGTTATGAACGGATTCTGTTCTTGAGGACGTTCTTAAGTCGTATTTGTACTTACAGAACAATGCTTAAAATCCCACTATATCATAGCCAAGGTCCTTATATACATCTAAAATCACCTAATTTAAGACTAAAGAAGAAATAGAATGATAAATACAAAATGAAAGTAAAAAATAAGTCATCAGGTAAATAAAATACTGTGAATTTCAAGTTTAATCCGCTTGTATCGGCAGGCATTCGTAAGTCAGGGGCCCCCTGTACAGTACATTATTTAAGGGAAAGACTGTCCTGCTTTATGTCACAGCGATGTAAACGTTCTTATGATTCCTATCCCCCTGTGATTACATGTTTTCGTATGGGGAAAAAAATCTCCTGCTTAAAGGCGTTTCGCTTTAAGTCATGCAAATTAGTTACCGAACCCTGATTTATTTCAGGGACCCCTTATACTAACACTTACTGTCAAATCTTCCTCACATATTGTATAAAACATCTAAGATGGCCAAACTCACACACCAGCCAAAGGTGCCCACAATAACATACATATGAATCTAGTGCATTGTATTGCTGTTTTATATATCACTGTTATTCCTGTTTCCAGCAAAAACAAAGCAAATCAACTGAATGGCTTTCAGCTCAACTCAAGTAATGAGACAAGAAAATGAAAAAATGAAACAGAGAACCCAACTGCAACATGTGAGTAGGAGAGAGTGGAGAAAGAAGGAATGGTGATAGTGGACTTCCCTACTTGTAACTGTAAGGCAAATAGTGACAAACATGGTATTCACTCCCAGTCAATCTTACTTTTTGCACTGTCACTATGTTGAAATGCCCTGTAATTTGAGTTTTTCCCCACCTAGTTATTATATATCATATTTGTATCACTTATGTTACTTGTATATTATTTGTGAATCAAAAGCCTTCTGGCTGCCATGCTCTTTCAATAAACCATTAATTATTATTATTATTTATTATTATCACCTTATGGGTGGCGAGAGATTGCCACAACACTTTTACAGTATTTTCATCTCATTCCATGCATAGACTATTCAAAAAAGAAGCAAATGTCGACAGTGAAGACACAGAGTACAGGAAAAAATGGGGCAAACCATATTCTGTGCTGTACACTAGGCCCATAGTCAATGGTTGAGAACAGCACTCCAAGAGCACAAGTCTCCTATGTCCTAAATACCTTTTCTTTCCTACAGCTTACAGATCAGACAAGGGTGTCCTTTCTTCATTTGATGCAATAATCCATGATAAATATCCCTTAATCTTTGTTACATTTCAACACTTTAAAAGATTTAGGGCACACCATCCGATAAAAATTCTCAAGCATGCCATTTCTTTTACATCTAAGGTTTGTACATGTTCATACAAATATGCTGGCTCAATGATTCCACTGCAGATCAATCAATTGTCACAAACAGAATATAGAAAAATAAATCCCCGGTACTTGTACTGTAAAAAATGTGGTTGTCCTACCAGTGATCTTTGTCTTCATTTGCATGGATGGGCTCGTATCTTCTTCCATATCTTCAACCTCCCATTTCTTTTCTAATTCCTTCATGGGGCTCGATTCTTGTTCAACTCTGTTGTTTGTTTTACTCGTTTCTCCTCCATGATTCTCAACTCCACAGACAGGTTTTGCCTCATCACCATTCTCAACATTTTTGTAATTTTCTTTATTAGCAAACACAGAAAGCGTTTCCTTCAGAGAAGTTGAGCCATTTGATTTTGTATGTGTTTTGCCAGTGATCATCTCATCACTTGCTGCTGCTAACTTTAAAAACGACTCGAGTACTTTCTCCAATTTTTTGAAGAATCCTTTCTGGTGAAATAAGAATCTACCATTAAGTTTGTCTTATTGCTGCATTACACTTGTTAAAGTAAATAATGAAATTAAGCAATGATGACCCTGACACCACATCCTTTTAAAACAGAAAATATACATACAAGGATGAAAAGCTAAAAGGCAAGATAACCTCTTCAAATTGTGAAAGACATGACAAACAATACATTGGAAAAGTTTTGGGATACAGTACCGTGTTTGTAGCAACTGAAGCATGTTACAAGAAAATGAGAATGTTATAACTATACCAGGTATGGTACATACAGGTATATTTCTACAGTACAGTATATCATGGAATGAGAATATAAATGTGAAGATAGCATAAAAAGCAGATCCATTGAGCTCAAAGATATGGCAATATTTCAATGGGAATTATTGCCTAGAAAACCAAACACTGTAGGTCAAGGTGAGCCCAAGCAAGTGTGATACCAATGCTCATTTAACCACCTGCTCTCCAATGTCCATGAGAGAAACTTTTGTTTCTACCCTCCCTTTTCAGAGCAACAGCTGAAATGGGGAGGTATAGTAATCGATTGGGTTAATACAGTACCTGGTATTCGTTTTCATCCCAATAGGTTAAGGTTAGGTTAGGTTATGAATGGCTCATTTCCGCAAGAAACGAATGTCAGAATCAATTAACAAATTTAAAAATACATTAGAAAAATAATATCTCATACCAATTGGAAAAATTGTGATAAAAACGAATTTTGACCATCAATTGAATGGTCCCAGATACCAGTATGTGGTCTTCCATCTAATGCTCAGTGGGCACACTATACTCAAGCCATCAAGTAAAGAGTAACTGGCACATTCAATTGCAATCAAGAAAATATATTGTGTGTAAGCCACTATAAACATAATTTAGATAAATTGACTTGTTTATAAGAAAAATTATAATACTGTACAACAATTAAATAGAAACAAACTAATGTACAAGAGATGTCTAACCTCAGTAATGTCTCCCTCACTGAGTTCATTTTCCAACTGTGAAATGCTCTCCTGATCAGTTTCCATCAAATGACTGCTAAGCAGTAACCGCAGTCGCTTGGCATAACCTTTTTGTGTAAGTTCTTCCTCCTTGTACATTCCCTGAAGTTCGTGAATTCTGAAATATTTATAATATGTGAACGGCCTGGTCAATGACGAGCTATTGTACTATTACACTTCAGTAACTGCCTAATGAAGGGTTGCAGTAGCCAGGAGCACATAGCATTCACCTCCTGCCCTGGTTCGCACCCAAGGCATTCCCAGCTCACCTACCTGTAAATGTGACTTAAGTGACGAGTTACAACCAAAATAGCTTCAACCTGGAACAAATACTCAACACTTTTAACTAATACGTAATACATAATATGTTCATGAACTCTGAAGTCAAGGTTGATTTGGTGAAATGCTGACTCCAGAGTAGGAATCAAGAGTGAATTATTTCCAGTAATCAGGATCGACTGTAACAAAACCTAATATCCACTGAAAACTAAACTCAACTCACTTTTCACGAACATCTTCTGGTATCGTGTGTGCTTCTGCTACACCTGGCATGGTAAAAATGTTGAAACAATCAATAAAAATCACTCAACATCCGATAATAGGAACCACTTGAACCTTCAGAATGTTTTGGCGGTAAACACGGCGCTGCTTGTTCCTCCCGCCAACACCATACTAAGACCTCCCACTCCTAAAACTCGAAAAAAATTAATTAACAAAACCTACAGGAAGAGCCAAAGGTAATAAAAAAAAACACATTTAAAAATTACATGACTTGCTTCTAAATTTGTTTTTCGTCGATATTTTACATTTTCAGGGATGAAATATAAATACCAAATAAATGTTCAAATCCAGGGAACTATTTTACATGTTTAAAGTTTTCTTTGTGGTTTCACACTGAAAACAAAAACTCTGATATTATACTTTAAATTACTTATCCAGGTATTTGTATAACAAAGACATGAATTTTGTGTTAATCAAGTTAAGTTTTTTTCAAGCCACAGGAATCTTTGTAACATATCATAGCGCAATATTATACCAATATAGTGTAATTTAAATCACCGTATAATCATTAAAGTATGTCAAGATAGGTTGCGGTATAATTTTTAAGAAGGAATTTTATTTTTTAAAGCAATGTTCTTGATATATTTTTAACAATGCCTTGTGTTGGGCTACTAGTGCTGCCATCTGTCAGAGTGATGTTGAAGACATGTTTGTAATATTTGTAGAAAATTGGTTCAATTTTATTATAAATACTTTTAATGGTTAAAGTTCGTGAATTTCTAGCTCTTCCTTTTTGAAGTTAATCTCTTATTTGCTAATTTATTATGAGAGTGATCGAACCCAAGACTGAAGTTAATATGCACGTGTCAGCTGTAGCATTAGTACCCCTTTGTTTGCATATCCTAAATTGAATCATCATTGATTGTATACCTGCATTGTCTTTGTATATGTTGAATCAATGTGAAGTTGTATAACTGCTGAATTTCACTTAAAAGCTTTCCACTGTCCAGGTGGGAAATTTTATACCTGCTGATCTGTATACCACCATTGTCTATATACATGCCAAACCAATTGTAAACTTATTTGACAATTTTATTTGTAATAAATGTTATAATCACTTTCAATCATGTGTACAGAACTTGAAAACTGTGCGGGACAGGATCTACCATGAGGCTGAGTGGAGGAGGATGACCACTCCAGCTCCAGCAGACGACGCCGCTGTGATCTCTTCGCCTGATACGCTCCTCTTGTAACATGACTTACTAACTGTTTTTAAGTTATGCAATATTACCGATGTTGTCCACAAAGGTTTCAAAAATTATTATTGGATGGTAAGTGAGTTTCTGGACTTTTCTTGTTAATGTGTAATGAATAGTTATTGCAAAACCAACTTTGTTTACGGCTACCCGGGGCCACCTCCACCTAGGCCTAGATGTATCCCTTTAGTTCCATAGAGGCATAGCCCTTGGCTTTAGCTCATGAAAACGTTCTTTTCAAACATTCTGTGGATACCATCTCAAATTGGATTAGTGCAGTGATAGTAATGGCTCGCTGAGATTGCCTTATGTCGAGTTCCATGATGCTGGGGCTACACACTCCATCCGGTGCTAAAGAATGAGAATACATTAGGGTATACTTAATTAGGTTTATTTAGGTAGTTTGTGGGTGCATGTGACCGAGAGGATGTATTTTTACTCTGGTTAGTTCAGTACAGTAATGTACAATCAAAGACAAAAGTCGTGTCGCGGTTTTGTCCGAAGATTAAATATAACTCGTGAAACATTATGAGAGCCCCCTACCACAAGGCAGAGTGCACCAAAAGTTTAACTCTTTGGCATATGTTTTCATCAAATTTCACAACACGACATTTTGTCTTTCATTGTACACCCACCAAAAAAATTATTTGGCACCCATGTCATATTGTATCACGCCGTAAGGATGCCAAATAATTTTTTATTGGGTGTACAGTGATGTTGAAGTATTATGTACAGTAGTGTTGTACACCAAACATTACTGTAGACCCAATAAAAAATTGACACCCTTACTGCATTATACAACATGAAGGGTGCCAAATAATTTTTTAATGGGTGTACATACTTGAATTCTTAATTTTACTTTTTACCTTTATCCTCTTCACCATTGATCGGCTCGTTTGCCACTTGGGCGATCGGTCACGTCTCAGTTATGCACTGTTGGCAAGTACTGGGCATGCACCGGCTCCTGAATGCGTCTGAACCTGCTCCAGTGCTTGTCAGGTCTGGTCTGGTCTTGAAAGAGCTCACACTCGGTGCTGTCAACACTGGCAGATTGTTCCAAGAGTTCACAACTCTCACTCCAAAAAAGTTACCCCTCACAGTTTTCTGGGCTTGTGGTTTCTTTAACCTTGAGCTGTGACCTCTTGTGGGGCAAGTTTCCACCAGTTCCAGGTAAAGGCACCCAACTGAGCACTGTAGTGCCCTTTGAGATGTTTATACACCTCAATTAGGTCCCCCTTGTCCATCTGCAGTATAAGCTAGGCAATTTCAGGCGCTCTAATCTCTCGGGGTAGCTGAGGTGCCGTAGTGCAGGCACCAGTCTGGTGGCCCGCCTTTGAACATTTTCAATCAACTGTCAGTCCCTACCATATCTCAGGGACCAGACGGGGTGACAGTACTCTGGACGGGGAAGCACTTCACTCTTGAGGATCGTTCTTCCCAGTGCTTGTCTAACCTCTCAGAAGTTTCCAACATACTGTAGTCCTGTATTTCCTCACGGGGGGGTGGGGGTACAGCAGTAACACTCGTAACTCATCAATATGTTGAGGGTTTGAGCTTCGGCTCGGACACGCATGAGAAGGATGTTACCCAGTGTGACCCGACCAAACATCACTGGTTTCCTGACCTCCGGTTTCCTCCTATAGTACTAACACTGGATAGACCGTTCGAATGGCTATTAAGCTTATAAGTGCAAAAATTATATTATTATACATTATATACAACCCTTTAGAAGGTAATACAGACCTATCTTGCAAGCCTCTGAGGCAGAGGAAGTCCAGCACTTTTCTCCCTGCAGACTTTGTAATAGTACAGTCTGTAGTCCCATATCTCAAACTCTTCAACAGTCATAAATATTAATATTTTTTATGATATAACTAGTTATACGATGGTTTGTGTGAATTCACTGCTGGAGCCAAGGCTATGGCCTACTTGCAATTTATTATATTAATTTTGAATGCAATTTTTTGTTCACTCATTGAGATTTGCAATTTATAAGAACAATACTATGCACAAAACTAAATTACTGTATACCCTGTACAGTATAGTAAAAATCCAGACAAAATTGAGTGTGACCCTAAATATACCTTTACATTTTTCCTTGCTCTTCCACTGCATTTACATTTTATGCACTTGAGTAAACATTGATAAGAGTTCCCATGAAAAATTTTCAATAATAAAATGATGTCTGTATTCTAAACCTTTAGATATCCAGCAGATTTACTTAAAATTCATGAAATTTTAGACCTCTGGAAGTCCTCAGAAATGTGGCAGGAGTGAGATTGATTCACAGCATCATCACTTACATGACATTATATAATGGCTATTATTGATAATGAGGATGTTGAAAAGTAGCTACTGTACTTGGCTCTAAACAAATTTATAATATATTGTATTTGGAATATTGGTATGTTATGGAGGTGTTTGTATTAACACATTTATTGGCTCATGAAAAAATGGCACATGACATCAAAGCCTCTTAAGTAGGGCTGACTTTTCTTGTGTATACATGTGCTATTGGTACACACATATAAACTACCTATGATAAGGAAGAGTGCTAAGCTTCCCTTTGTTCATGACAACCAACTGGGAGAAAAACTATTAATTAAGGCTTTTTATGACTTAAATATTGGAAGAAATAGTATCATTTGATTGTATAGCTACAGTACTGTACAGTATGTTTTTCATGAGCTTATTTCTTGTTAAACCCACTGTAAGAAGACATACCACAAAGTAAAAAATGGTAAAATACTACACATTTGTATAACATGGTTTTTATTGACTGTGTGTTGTCAAAACATTTTTTCTTCATATGGTGATACTAAAAGAAGATATTAAACAGGACCTAACATACTGTCCATCACAGTTTTCAAGAATGTATAGGGTAATATTAAGCCCCCCCCCCCCCACCCCTCTCGTCAAAAAAATGTGTATTCATCATTTACAGTACACTGTATCATTTATGTTGTTCAGAAGCATCAATTATTTGAAAGTTGCCATTACAAACCATGTTTTTACCTTGATTCTATTTCTTTTCAGGTCTTGTATATTAGCCCTGGGTGTTGGAGGGTTTGTTTACACAAAAGGTGTGATTGAAGCTCAACGACGGGAGTCAATGAAAGTGCGAGAGCGCATGAGAAACGCGAATACTGGAGATTACGAACAAAAGAGAAAATTTACTGGATAAAGATATACAGTACCTCAGTTCCATAACATTCTTATATTGCAAAATATCACATCAGTTCTCAGTAAACAAACACAAACTACATTCTTCTTTTAAAAATTAAAACAAGAATAAATCAGCAAGATGGCTGGCTTACCTGCTCTTAATGAGGACCAGATGAAGCTGGTTCAAGACCTGGAGATTGAGATGATGTCCGACATGTACACAAGAATGACAAACTCCTGCCATAAAAAGTGCATCCCAACAAAATATAAAGATTCAGAAATTGGCAAAGGAGAGGCAGTATGTATTGACAGGTAAGATCTTTTTTATGAAGCAATATACTTGTACAGTACAGTACAGTATATGTGAAATATTTGTGGACTTTTTTTAAATAAGAATAGCTTTCTTTTTTGGGGGGGAGGGGTGGGGTTAAAAAACAATGCTTTCTTTCTTTTATTAAACCAATGGTTTTTGCCAACACTGGTTTTTCAAGGTCACTTTTTGGTGTTTATGTTCTGTTCTGAATGTACAAGGTACTTAAGTACACGTAGTTAGACACAATATAATAGTTTGGATACCCAGGATATACTGTATTGTATTGTACTTTAATTAGACCATAGCCTACCACATTAATGAGTTTGGACACCCCCAGTTTAGCCTGGAAAAATAGGTTGTTTGCTCTAAATTTTGAATACTGTGCAGTACATGAGTTTTCTCTTAGTATGTCGAGTTGAAAACACATTGCTGGAGTTTGAGAGAATGAATGATAGGAGGCTTTGTTCATAGTTGCAATCACCCCCACTTCATCACAGCACGAAAGACTTGCAAGATTAAAAAAAAAATGTGGTTAAATGAAGACTTACTTTGCAGGTGTGTGGCCAAATATTGGGAAATTCATGAACGTGTTGGAAAGAAACTACAGAAAATGTCCACCCAGGATGAAGAAGCCTTGAAAAAAATAGCAGCAGAACAGGGACTTGTTAAATAATGTCTGACAGTAATAATGATTTTTGTAAAGAAAGTAAGTTCGTAGTCTTTGTAAAGTAATTTGAGTTTATTATGTCTGAGACCATGGCAAAATTGCAGTCATTTAGTGTACATAATACATAGGTGCTTCTGATACAGCAAGTATTATGCTGTGTGATTCTGTTTTATGCTAAAATTATAAAATAATTGGCAGTGATTTTTTTATAATGTATATATGTATACCGGTACTTCATTACTGTATGCTCTTTTATAGATTTTGTACACATTAACTCATATGTTAACAGTGCAGTCTTTGACAATGTAATTTTTTATATAATTGTATTAATTATCTTTGCTAGCATCTTTTATACCATTCCCACAATATGGGGTGAGGAGGGTTAGCTTAGCCTAGCCTTGATGTGAGAAGTGCAAATAACACCCCACCAATCATATCAGCCATGGGACAGAACCTGTGATGGATTGGAAGTCCAGAGTACTACCAGTGGAGCTGTGTATTACCAAAGGTCATGCATATAAAGCTATACAACTCAGGCAAAACCATTGAGAATCTCTGTTCAGGTTTTAAACTGGTAATAAAGATATGAAATGTTCTGGTGACAGCTGTGAAATGGCCTTGTAGAAGAAATTAAAGATAAAATAAGTCAAAGGAGTTAACATTGTAGAAAATTTACTTTTTAAAGAGGAACAGGTCAGAGCGATTTAAAAGATGTGAGAAGATATGGTTCCAAAGTTTAGCAGTAAAAGCAAAGAAACAGGCCTTTTATGTTTACCTGATGCCCATATATTTGTACATAATTATATTTGGTTTAAAGGAAATAACTTACAATGGCTACAGGCATCTTTCAGGCATAATGTTACTTTTAACAACAGCTGCATCTGTAAAATGTTATTCTACTTACAGAAAGTATAGCTATAGCATTTGGATACAGACAACATTGTTTGCATTTGATCTGATTGGTCTGGAACAAACTTAAACTGATACAGTATTTGGTTGGACAATGACTTTTGACAAAGGCAACTCCACCTTCAGTTACAAACTCTAAAGTGGTCACTTGAACATCTTTGTGCATATGATCTTTGGGATTTTTTTCATCCATGCTTTGCTGCAGATCATCCTAAAGTTTGTGAAGAATGTTCAGTACATTAAATGATAAAAAAAAATGATGTTTAGAGTATGTATTACTGTTACATTTAATATTTATAGCGAGGATAATGGAAGTTGCTGAAGTTTGTAGAGAGAATAGAATTATAATTTCAACATGTAAAGGCCTTTGTCACTTGAACCTTTCAGTTTATACTGTGTGGTGAATTATACCTGAGAAGCTGGGTAACTTAAGCTCAATCTTTACTACCGGTATTTTTTTTTTTTTTTCAAAGACGCACTTTCTGGTGTTTTAAAAAATCTTGAAGTGTTTGGGAGAAAGGTAGAGATATGGATCTTACAAGTAATAATGTAATTGCTTAGTACAGGAGGGGTCATTTTGCTTGAAAACAGCCCAAGATAATGAATATGCCTATACAGTACTGTAATTTGTTAGTTGGATGTGGAAATGATATGATCACTGATCAGATGACTTAAACAGAGCTGGAATAACATACATCCTTCCACTATGATAAATTCACATGAAATGTTTTTCTAAGATAAAATAACCTGCACTTCTAATTATAACTACAACATTTGGGGGCAATTATTCTGAAGAGGCAGGCTAAGATAGTTTGAGCATGTGGAGAGAATGGATGGGACCAATTTGATCAAGAGGTGCATGAACCAAAATGTAGAGGGAAGGAGAGCCAAGGGTAATCAAGAATGACATGGGGAGAGGGAAGAAATGACAGAGTAAAGCCCTGTACACACGATCGAGCAGTGCCTGGCGGGCTTTGTCCGTTTACCGGGCAAAGCCTGTGTGTTGTACACAATGGAGTGGTTGGAGGCAGTCATAGTCGGGCGCTAGTAGGTGGTCGGCGGGTGCGGTGTGTCGCAGGAATAATCGCCGGACAGTTAAAGCGAAGAGCATAGCGTTGTGTACTATAATAATTGCCGCTATGTGCAAAAAGAAGAACCAAATGCAGAAAAGGGAATGGTGCAAAGAGTGGTTAGGTCAAGAAAAGTATTGGAAAATCATGCCACGATTTTATGTGAACTGCAAGATGGGCATGAGCAAGACTTCATCAATTACATGAGAATGGACCCCAACACTTTTTGCAAACTTCTAGCGAAAGTGGAACCATATATAAAAAAAAAAAAGGATACCAATATGAGGGAGAGTATATCTGCAGAGGCTCGTCTAGAGGCAACACTCGTATATCTTTCAACTGAGTGCACCTACACGTCACTTCAGTATAGAACGAGGATATCAAAACAAAGTCTGTCTCACATAATACCTGCAACTTGTCAAGCCATGTATGAAGTACTCAAGGAAGATTACTTGCAAGTGAGATTTGTAGTACATAAAAATTCATTGAATAATGTTAGAATTATGAGATGCATAGACAGGAAGTCATGGGACTAGAGTGAGGAGAGCGGCAGGAACAAAGAACACACACGAATGTCCTCATTACACAATACAAACAATCTCCTGTTTATTGTCACGCCAATAATGTACATTGCATAAGCTTATTTGGTTATACACTGGACATCTGGACCAAGCGGGGAACAAATACGTATCACATTTGCAGTACTTAAAGTTGTCGCTCCATATCCGGCAGCAAACCACCAGGCAGGCGGACCATGATTTCGCTCAACGACGGGCACGGGCACTCCGTTGGTTTGCCCGATAACGGGCATTTAGCTCGTGCCCGCCGGGCACTGCTCGATCATGTGAACGGGCCTTTAGGAATCTGAAAAGAGTGACTGACAAGAGACCTTGCAGCATGAAGAGCTACCATCAGGTAACCGCAGCTAACTCGCCCATGCAGACGTAGAAAGTGGCCATGAAATGATGACGACAATGAGCAAAATCTTTGCCAGGTTTCAGGAAAACTATGCTAAAATAAAACTAAAAAATTAGTTTGATCAGTGGCGGATGTATATACGTATAGTGTGTGTGCAGGTCAGGAGAAGATCATGTGAGCTTAGGAGGGCCGGTGACTGTTTGTGAGAAGTCTTCAGTTTTACAGCTCCTGATAGGAGGGGGGAACTTATAGGACATGGGAGGAACGAGGCTAAAAGTGAATGGATGACATGAAATTTGGAAGAAAATGGGTAGACAATCTTAGTATACATTGGGTAGAGCAATCCACACCCAAATTACACCCTTAGAGATGCCTCTGCCAGGCCATGAGGCTAGTGGGAGGACCTTAAGTGCTTGATAGGGCCAGTCCACTGTTTCTGCTTTTGGGAAGGGTGCTTTCAGTGTGAGATATGGCTGAGCAGGAAGGGTCGCACCAGCATGGGAACGCTTGGCAAATGCGATTTGCGTCGAAAGACCATGAGATAGTTTAATAGAATGGATGAATGAAATTAAAATCTGGGTCCCCAGAGAGATACAAAATCTTGGAGGATTCCAAAAAGTTTAGTGGAGGACTGTGGTTGCCAACCCTCAAATTCGAGATCGGTACTCTGATTGATAAGAGAGAGAGAGAGAGAAGCATTGAAAATTAATAAAGGATAATTTGCAATAAAAATAAAGGATGGTAGAGTGCATTTCATTATAGCATTTGAAGAATCTGTTTAAGATACAGATCAATGCTTCAAGAACAGAAAAGCAAAATTCAAAATTATTAATTCTAGGAAAGAAAGACAATAATTTTTTTTAGTCACATTTACTTGGTAGATCCTACAAACACTGAACTTAAGAAGTCTTCCTCTGGTTTCTTCATCATTTCTCTTTTCTTGTTCTTCATTTCTCGTCTCTTTTTCTTTTTTTCGGCAATCATAGTCTTAAATTTGTCATTCTTTTTCTTCCTTTCCTCTTTCTTGCTTATCATTACATCTTCAGTTTCCTTTTGTTTAAAAACAAACATATTTCCACTTCCTGTGGTACCTGTGTTTTGGCTCTTTATGTCATCATCTTGCTTGTTTCCAATGTTTTCCTTCTGCTTCTTTGCTTTTGCTTCTTTCTTCTTTTTCTTCTCACTGATTTCAGATGCTTTGATGAAGTGATCAGTTTCACGTCGCACCTGGGAGATCTCTGCACCCATTCTCTGACGATACACTTCACGCTCATACTCCAACCGCTGTTTGAGGTAGGCCCACTTAAACCTTGAAGAGTAAATGACAAATAAATACAATTGGTGAAAATTTCAACACTATTTTATTACTATGGCATCAGTACTGTTTACAAAAGATCCTACTGTATTAACAGAGTTAAAATTACATACCCTATGCTGAAGACTGAGGACACCTAAAACAGAAAAGTGGGGTTCCTAGATCCAATTCTTTGTTGTGACTGCTCTTCTTTTTGTTCATTACTATCATTAGTGTACAGTTGTACACCACTCTTGACACAGTGATGGATGTCAAATATTGTTATTTTTTAATAATAAAATGTACTGTAAACACCATCCAGGGGATTCATTATTCTAACATTTTAAAGATATCATCACCCTCATTAATATGACCATCACTGGTTTATGGCCATTTTCCACGAGTCAGTGGGTTAGCCATGAGTACCTGATGGTAGCTCCCAACTTAATAGCCTCTTGCAGCCACTCTTGTCAGATTCTTATCTCTAAGGTAATTAACCACAACCTCTCCCCATGTCATTCTTGGCCTACCCCTAGCTCCCTTTCCCTACACATTCATACTTGGGCATCTTTTGACCCAAGTGGTCTCCTCCATTCTCTCCACTACATAAAATATCACTAATACATTACTCTCACTATACAACCATCCTCGAGCAAAGAGAAGGTCCTCTCACCATCGAGAGAGGCAACAGCTCCCCAAACTTCTTTCAGCCATTACCACCTCCAGCACTGACCTTGTCACCCAGGTACTGTAGCAGAACTCACTAACACAATACAGTACTGTACAGGGATAAACTGTATCCCCAATGTTGAATGACCACATGATTACCTGTACATAAAGCACATTCAGGGCCAAATCCAGGAACATCAGGGGGGGGGGGGGCACTGAACCCCTCCCCCCCGGAAATTTTTTGTAAATCTGACCAATATCATGGGCATTTTGAGACCATGTGCACTTGATAATAGGAAACATTCTGAGGTCAACAGTAAATAATAAATACTTTTTCCGATACAAAAATGCCTGAGTAAAATACTGGCCAAGCGGCCTATTGCAGGCTCCTTATTTTCTCATTAAATAAAAAGTACAGGTATTGGAATTTTTTGAAGAAAGGGGGATCCGGACCCCCGGGTTCCGCCCCTGACATTTAAAGTCAGCAACATCCTGTTGTGTGCTATTTACGTGACTGCAACTCATGTGTACGGTACACACTTTCCACAGTTTACTGAGTTGATGCCAACATCCTTCTTACAAAGAACAACATTGCCATTTTCAACAGATCCTTAATTTACTAATTATGAAAACAACCCAGAAAAAGACTACTGTATCTACTTGATGGATAGATGACATCCGGTAGTCTGGAAGCAGTCAGTTAGATGATGGTGTTAAACAATATCTACTTGTGGAAAAGCAAGAATAAGAACTTAGAGATAAATTTACTTACCTAGGAAGATATTTGATGTTCCACAGCATGTCGTAATATGAATTACTTTTCTTTCCACCCACAGGTTGGTTATTAAGATAAAGATGCATCTGCTTAGCTTTTCTTTTACTTTTAAACTCTATCCAGCCTTCTGTGAAGTGTAGTCTCTTCTTAAACTTCTTTACTTTGCCTTTGTTTCCTTTTAATCTATCTGTTACAAAGAGAGAAAAACCATCATGAGGCTTACTTCACTTATTCCACCTCATGCAAAAGTGGGAAAAGAGGGGATATGATAAATAAGCAGGAAAAATAAATCAAAATAATCTACGGTAATTAATTCTAACATACCAGTATTTTCTTCCATTAATCTTGCACCATTATCGCCTACCTCACCTCCCACACTGCGTGTCTTCTTCATAAATCATCACGCGCATGCGTTCCCGTACACGTCACGCAGCCAAACAAACGCGTTTTTGTTTTTGCAACCAATTAAAATGATTTGGGGTTTAATTCGTGGTATTTTTGACCCAATCAAATTTGAGTTTTATTTTGGGTCTCAAATATTTCCAAATTCAAATTCAGTTTAGACCATGGAAGTCTGCGATGGGTGTCACCTAAATTATATGGAGCTGATTGCGAGTTTCTGGGAAAAAACGAAGAAACTATAGCATTTTTTCGATCGCATGGTGTTCTTCCAACCTCAGTAAAGTGTACTAAGAGCAAGACTGAATGTAAATATCGCAAAGACCAACATATGTAGTGTTGTGTAAGAATTTCAGAATCCAACGACGAACAAGAACCAGGCCAATAAGGTAAGAAATAGGTGATTCCATCATATGGTGAGAGTCAGTTAAGTTAGGTTAGGTTTTTGTTTTTCTAGTGTTTTTAGGTGTATTTTGCCATGATTTTTTTTTTCGGAAAACGTCCAACGAAAAAATTTGATAAAAAACGGCTTATTTCCGCCAGAAATGAAGGTCACATTCGGTCTAAACACACACAAATACACTAGAAAAATATATTTTTGACTTTCTAACAGTGTGGTGTGACAGTGCAAATTTACCATATTTTTTCCTAAAGTTGCTCCTAGCAAAGCTATGTCGCAAACTATTACTTTTTACCGTTACTCTTCAAATTTCTCATTAACTACCATAAGTGTGTGAACTAAGTAAACCTTGGACAGTAAAAGCTTACCGTTCTCTGCAGCTTGAAGGAATACACGGTCCAGCTCGCCAAATTTGCCAAAATATTCTCTAATCTTCGTCACGTTCATGTTTGGGGGAATGGTAGACAGGTAGACTATCCCGGGTTTTCTTTTTTTAACTGATTTTTCAAAGGGGCTTCCTTCACTGTGACTTGGCGGCACATTTTGTTCCTCCATCTTGTTGTTAGAAAATTATGATATATTACGGACGTCTACTTATTAAACATAACACTTCACACTGTTGTCTGGATCACATGGTCCTCCGGGCAGCACTAGGTGGGACGGTCATACTGCCAAAACAATAACAAAGAATTTCTAACTAATAACTAACACTTTTCTTTAGTATTTGCAAGTGTTCTTTACTCGCAAAAGATATTTATATATCATAATAAAATACCTGGCATTATTTTACTAAGGATAAGAGCAAAATACTCGGAATTTAAGAACACTATTAACTTGATTTCAGAAAGGTTTGCATCAAATCAACAATACAACTGCCAAGTTCTAAAGTTATTCCCATATTATTTCATCTACAACAAAATAGGAGTGTTATAACATAATATAGCCTTCTGTGTGCCAGAAATTAATGAGCACTGCCGGTACCTGTATTAAGTAAAATGGCAAGTGAGGGGTGAAGAAGGTTCAATACAAGGGTACAGGGTGGACGAAAGGGAGTTTTAGGAGTAGAAAAGGGTGTCATGGCTTAACACAGGCTAATACATGTGCGACTCGTGATCCCCAGTGGTTTGGTAATTATGGGGGGGATGTTTTTAGACAGTTTTGTTTACTGATTCATTTCTATTCATTTTCTTTGGCAAATGCTTCACTTTCTAGATACAGGCGAATTAAGTTACTGTCTTAGTTTTACAGTCGCATGATCAGCTGTGATGTGGCAGATGTAAATGTAAGGTGAGGGCTAATATACGAGAGTAGCCGTCAGCAGCTCAGTAATTATGAGGGTGTTTTTAGACAGTTTTTTATGCTGATTACTTTCAGTTCTATTTATTTTCATGTGTAAATGCTTAGTTTTCTAGATATAGGAGAGTTAAGATATAGGTTTGGTTAGCACATGATTTCAGCCATTTTTTTTAATTTTCACCAACATAATAAAGTATCATCTAATAAAATCAGTGAAAACCGGGTACGTATTTTGAAACCCATTTCAATGAAAAACGGGAGATAATCACATTTTGAATAATTACCAACATGGCTTGGTAGATGGTGATAGGATTTTTAACTGGGAGATGCAATATTGCACATACTTTTGAATATCTGCCTGGCCTAGATTACAGAAGAAGAGTAACAACTGTCTATGGCTGAAGCCTGAAGGTTTATGGAAATATCGGCTGAAACACCTGGGATAATGTGTCAGCGAAAGAGTAAATACGCAGATAAATTATAAATAAAATATTCTTTCAGTGAAATTATCATACAAGATCACATACTTTCAGTATGTACAGAATACAGTTTGTATGTTCTATATATTTCACACTATACTTACCCATCTATATCTTAAACAGTGCCAAAACCTGCAAAGCGTCTAATTTACCTATTCCAACTAGAAGAAAGGAGGTCTGTGACTGTATAGCATCCCATCATCATTCTCGATAGTCTTTTTCAGGACTATTTTGAAGACCACAACCTAAGTTGGTAGACTGTTCCATAAGACCACATCCCTCTGTGTGAAATAAGTAGCTACTGTACAGTATTGTATATCCTTATTTTCATTCTGCATAACACTTTGGTGAGCTTGAAGTTGTGACCTCTCATGTTGGTGGTGCCTGACATCACGAAAAATTGGCTCGGGTTTACAATCTATGTGATCTGCCTTATTATATCTACAGTAGAACGTCAATTTAAAGCGATTCAATTTAAGATTACTGTACAGGTATTGATTTAAAGCAACACCCACAATTAAGGACAATGTTTTAATTTAAAACGAATCTTTCCTATTTTGCGCGAGTCAATCTGGCGCATCATATTTAAAATTTTGCGCCTAATGTTTCTCTGGGCACACTACACTGTCCTAAGGGCAAAGCTGTACTGTACATGTAATCAAAATAATGTACTAATTGATTATTAAAATTTTTGTATAGTGCAAACTATAGCATGTTTATATTCAAATTAATCACTATCTTATAAGAATTCCAGCAATGTAAATTATATTCTTCCCGGTCACTTCTGTGACATATTATAAGCAAGAAACAAATGCAATCTAAAGGACATAAATATACAAATAAATACTTCACTAGACCTTTGGCACCAACTGTCAAACATGTCACTGTCACTTCTCCCCCCCCCCCCCATTTTCCAAGCCAGGATTTGGTGTTCTATGCTTTAAGTTTTTATCTTATATAATGTCACAGACTAAAGTTAGGAGAATAAAATTTGTATTGCTGGAATCCTTGCAAGACAGCGAATAATTTGAATATAACCGTCATATATTTTGCACAAAAGATAAATATTTTTACTCTTTAATAAAATTCTTAAATTAGAAATAAAATGTATGTCTAATGTGAGCTACAGCATGTTTATATTCAAATTAATCACTATCTTATAAGAATTTCATTAATGTTAATTATATTCTCCCATATAAATTCAGTGACATTTTATAAGAGAAAAACTTAAAGTCACTCTAAAGGACAGATAAATAAATAAGCACTAGACCTTGGCATCAACTGTCAAACATATCACCTCATCCCCCCCCCCCTATCTTCCCAGCCAGTAAACAGACCATTTCACATCCCTTAATTTTAGCTGTGTTGATGTATGAGTGTTTGTTTTAACATAATACTACAAAAAAACAATGTTTTGTTTATTCTAGGAGATGGGCTGAGGTGCATCTGGGTAGACTCTCAATCTGTTTAGTATTTTGTGTTTCTCTCAAGTAGCAAACTAAATTATTCAATTGAAGCAACACTTCGATTTAGTGCGAATTCGGTTTAAAGCGACCTTTCTTGGAACTATCTCGCATTATATCGACGTCCTACTGTACCCTGAAGGAAGGCAATGCAGAACGTATCTCGCATTATATCAACGTTCTACTGTACCCTGAAGGAAGGCAATGCAGTCGGTTAGGTTAGCCCCAAACCGAACTGACTGCATTTTACCTTATGTTTTCTTTTCTTTTTAATAAAGTTATTGTACTTATATTGTATTTTTGTGTCCTGAATACATTCATTAGTTGACTTAAGGCATCAAAATTAGTGAAGGAAAGCAATTAACCAAACTGACATAACTGTGAAAAGGAGCAAGAATTGGGTTAGATTAGATTTCTTAAGTTACATTTAACCAACTGTTGGTCTTTTGGCACTGGTATAGTACAGTATTGTATAGGTAAAGATGGAGGAAACCATTATCACCAGAAGGACTTCGTGGAATTACACCAAATTTTGATATATTGTTATGATACTGAGTAATAAAATTGAACTGATGACATTGTAGTAATTTTTTTCTTTTTGGCCTATCCTTCAATCATAAATTATTTGTTAGTAGGCAGGGCATGAAAGAAGAGGAAAGTACAGTGGTCCCTCGGTTAACAAACACAATTCGTTCCAGAGGGTCGTTCGTTAACCGAAAATTTAATTAAGCAAATCCATTGTTTCAATGGGATATTAGGTAATTGGTTCCAGCTCACCGAAAAGTACATACAAAGTAAAAAAAAAAAATGCAGTAAAGTACACTTACTTTGAGGTGTATATGTAGAAGGCTCCTGGTTGATGATGATGATGAAGATGGGAATTAGATGTGGGGGTGGAGGAGAAGAGAAGGAAGTGGGGGATGGGGGAGAATCACCTTTCAGGGGACCCATACTTGGTGCAGTAATGTCACCAATAAAATTTTAAGTTCACTAGGTGTAATTCAAGATTATTTTATTTAAATCAACACTGCACTGCGCTATATATTATCAATATGTTAACTAAATTTCAGAATGACCAATAATTTAAATGAAAAATGCAAAAATATTCAAGACACCAACAAAATAGATGTTCAGTCCACTGTCAACAGAGCCCAACTGACACCTTGTGGCTGAGTCAAGCATCTGATGGGCACACAAAAAACTAGTTCCCTGTACTGCATATATTATCAATATGTTAAATAAATGTTAAATGACTAATAATTTTAATATAAAAACAATGCAAAAATATTGAAGAGTACAACTTTATTGATATTTACTCCACTGGAAACGAATGTAAACATAGAACAGATTACTGAATTGGCAGACTAGCCCATCAGCTGGTGCTCACAACAAAACGTGATGTTCGTAAGGATTTCGTTAACCAAGGGACCACTGTAACAAGTAAAAACACTGATCATATTGCAGTAATTTCATGTCTCTGCATCCTTTGTAGGCAAAGAAATCAAATACAGTACAATATTTCCCATAATTATGGCACCTTCGGATCTCCCTTGGTGACCATGTTTTGGCTCACATCGTCTGCTATGCAGAAGCTTCTGCGGTCTTTGTTTACTTATCAAGAAACAAACGATGATCACATTGGGCATGTTTATTACAATTCATATTAGATTGAATTTCCTAATTTTTTTTTAGAAATGTTGTGGATGATACCTGTAGTATGAAAATCAAAACGACAATGCACAGGTTAGGAAGTTAGGTTAGGTGGGTTAGGTCAGGTTTTAATAGGTTCTATGCATTCTCGCTTCCACTTTCATATTCATTATCATGCAAATACCCTGTAGTACTATCTCCAGAAATTTTAGGGATTCTAGCCCTCACGAATTATGAGATTTTACGAACTATGACCCCCCCCCCCCTCCCCGAGAAAAAAACGGCACTTTATCATTATCTACCCCAATCAAAATTTCAAAGTTTTTACGTACAGTACCTGTATACTAGATTTAGGTTCATGGTCATCAGATATAACGGCTCAAACACTGGGCAATGATGGAAACACAAGCTTGCTCAGTAGACTGTAGATGTACACTCCACGACTATACCGTTCCATTACATCCTCTTTCTATTCTAATCTATTAAACAATCTTCATTTAAAAAACAATTAGGAACATTAAATAACAAATACATTCATAACTATTTTATTTGATGAATACATAGAATCACTTGCCTATGAGGCAAAAACAATACAATGATCACACAACAGAACCATTTCCACGGGAATGACAAGGCTGCCTACACTTGCTGTTCTGCAAGGCCATTGCTACTACTTAGTCTGCTACTGCCTTGACCTTACTTAAGTGGAACTGTTTCTTCTTAAAGCATTCAAGCAATATTGCACAAACTTCCTTCACACAAAACCTCAAGGATAGTTGTAGAGATTTGTACATTCATAAACAAGTATGTTTTTGAACAAGAATAATTCCTTTGTCCACTTTATGATCTAATGATGTGAACAAAATATTAACACAGTACCTGTAATTAAATTTCATGTAAAGTAAAATTGGAAAAAAAAGTAATTTCAGTAACAGGGATAGTGAAGGTCTTTTAATTATCTATATTGGCTTAAACTATGTCGATAGCTTACAAGAGTTGAGGGTAGAAAGGCAGCAGATGACCGAGTTAATAACATCCCCTTCAATTTTTACTACTAGTTGGTGCATGTTTCACACTAAACAATTCAGTTGAATTAACTTACCAAAAAAATCTGGATTTTCAAAGGCAACATTTCTAAATATGTGGCATGATCAAACTGATCTAACACCAAATTCACAAAGACATGCATTCACACGGGACACATTTCTACAGAATATTAAATGAGACAAAAGGGTACATGAAAAACTTGAAGAATGTTATGCTTTACACAGCTCATGAGAAAATGTAAAGCACTTCATTCTGGATTCATCTTTAAAAATTTGGATCATCTGGTTTTACTGCTGAGGCATATATCGAGCAAAAGGCATAAAATGGCAAGAGGTCTCAAATAGTAAAAATATTAGTGTCAAACACTATGCAGGTAGTTACAAGAAATTTCCCATTTCTTTTAAATTCTAAAACCAATTTAAATTACAGTACATCTTTTTCAGTTTCTCTGCTTAAAAAATTCATATAATGGGACACTTATGCATCATGATGGCAGTAATATAACTTTTTTTGGGGGGGAGAGAGGCTTGAGTGAAATTCAGTTTGCCTGATGAAACCCCCCACACTCTATAGGAATAATACCATAGCACCTGTCAAAACACAAGATCCTATAAACGACAAGGACAACTGTAAAGAAAATACAAGGGTGAAGCTTTCATGTATAAAATCCTAATTTCCATATGATTTATACAAATACATGTATATTAAAAAATTCTTGCACTGTGATTTCTTCTTAAGTACAAACTGCTCTGATACCAAAACCATCATGCAAAATGCAAACACTTCTAGTAACAACCTAGTAAAAAAATATACAATACTGTAAAAATATTACAAAGTATAAATGGTGACTCAAGACACAGTAATGATATTGGATCCCTCAGAAATTTAATATGAAAAAATGAAGAGTGCATTATATACTTGTGTTTGAGGTCCTGTTCCCTTGGCAACACAAAAACAGCATCAGGGTATATTCCTGCCAGAGACGTACAACAGAAAGAAATAGAGAACTGCTTCTGAAATCCTATTTTCTAGCAATGCCCATTGCCAGGTGACTTCTGTTAATGTATGAGGTTATTCTGGGCATCAAGAGAAGTAGTCAACTCCTTTAAATGAATACTAGAGGGGCTAATGTTAGATCTGCGTATCCCTCCCTTTCACAGTTAATATCTTGAAATGGAAAATAATTGCTAAAGTTGTCTTCTCGAGGTAGGAGATCTATAGTCATGTATGTCTAGCTAAGCATCACCTATACCAGCTCTGGCTGCCATTTTAAGTTCAGTGTCAATCTGTTATTTTAAATTCGGTTTCTCAATGACTACCCAGATCTAACAGATCCTGTTAGAAAACAATTTTCAGAATCAATACTCCATTTATAGCTTGATGCACCTTGCCAGGTGGCTCCTGTTAACAACAACCAGCTAGAAAGTGTGAGGTGGTGGTATTCTATTAATACTTCAGGGACTAGGCAAACTTGAAACCCACAGAACATGCAATGGCAGATTGAATCCAAAACCAAAACAGAGACTGTAGCTGGAACAATGTGTATTGCCTAAAGAAACATGGCTGACTTTATACCATCTGCCTCTGAAAGACAATCTTTGCTTCCAATCTTCTTACTAGGGTAATAACTGAAAGGGAAGGACATGTGATCATAATAACAGTCTCTAGTTGCTAGTCTGGGGATAATATACTGTATTATCTTACAAACACCTACAAAATGACTTATGCAAACACAGGAACTGCCTGGCAAGGGCATCAAGGTGTAAAAACAACTTTGATTACAAATGGGAAACAGTGCATTGGTGCCTGCAGCCACTTTGAGATGGAAACTGGAAGCCAGCACTGGAAAGAAGTGTGCTCCTATCAATTGTCGAGTGTATGCAGGCACATACAAAGATTCAGACCTCTACAGGCTTTCCAAAGAGAGAAAGGTTTGCAAGTACAGTATTTCGTTGATTAAAGAGGAATGTCTTTTACCCAAGTCACTAGGATCCATAATATCACCACAGGTACAGGATCTCAGAATTTTCTTGGCCTATCATTGAAAAACCTAAAACTTGTACTTCTTGCTGTACATCTCTGTTCCTTCTTGAACCAACCATGTTCCTAGATCATACTGTCCAGATACTCTGATGCCAACAAAGTCAGCTCTGGTATCTTACCATCTTAAGCTTCCTCTGATAAGATAATTTATATAAAAAAAAATAAAAAAAAATTAATACCGGTACAGTACAGTACTATGATTTTGGAATTTTGTTCAGCCCATGGTATAATCCAATAAAATTATTTAAATGGTTTACAAATAAGTTTGACTTACCAGAAGTGTAAGAACCATGGTTATAATTTATACTTCAGCTGCGACAATATTCCCTTCATATTACCTGATTTATGTATTTTTATTCTTGTTATACTAACTATACCTAACACAGATCTAAACTGTATAGCTACCTCTGCAGTTAATTTAAATAAAATAAAAGTCTGCTTAGTCATAGCCAATTATTAATGATGACTGTCCACTTTTTAAAAGTGTCTTTCACTTTCTGAAATACTTAATCCATATACTGTACACACTTTCTCAAATTTTTTAGATTATTTTTGTATTTAATGGAATGTATATCTTTCTGTACATTGTCATATGAAATATGTATATTCACATATGGAAGAAATAACAATCATGAAATGCTAAAATTGCACACTTACCATAAAACTGTCATGGTTGAACCTGATGTCAACATGAATTGACATCGAAACAAGATACAGTATAGAGAAAAATGAAATGAATTTTTTAAAAGTAATAATGGTAGGAAATTTACAAATGATTTAAAAACTAAGAGAAACACACACACACAAAGAAACCTTGCCCAAATGCTGCATCTTTACTAAACTTGCGACAGCTCAAACTTTGACCTACCTTACTCTAATGATATACAACCTCTTTATTGGATTTAAAAATTACTTTTCTTGAAATAATAACTTTGAATTAAGTATGCACTTCTATTAATTTTAATGAATATGAAATGAAGATCTCAGATAATAATGATTTCTTTAAGTACCTTTATCATGAATTAATATGAGCAAAGCACAAGAATGAATAATGATACCTAAACCCAAATCAATTAGTCATTCTTAAAACTTCAAAAAAATAATAAAATTTTGAACTGAACTTAATATAAATCTCTAAAGTAACTTTGTTGTAAAAAAAACAACTGAACACAGCTTCAAAAGGAAGTGATATGAGCTAAAATGTACAAGGTGTCAGTTAGGAAAATTGTTCCAGTTATACCATAAATATCAGTTTTAGCATTGTATCATTCAATAATGAATTATTTCTTAAATATAAAAAAAAACAGTGTAGTTGCACAGCAGTAGCACATTAAAGTGGACTCTGCTACACCTTTCAATGACTAAAGTATATGAAAAAATAATAATAATATATTTCAAATGAAGTAATAGTTATATTACATACCTGGATATCTATGTAGGACACACTTCTGGGCACCATAAACAGAAGCATTTAAATTAGAATAAATCTTTTTGTACATTTATACCTAATTATATCAAACAAAATATATTTTCCCATGATTATTTAGGACTGAAAATCAAGATTTATTATCCACTATCAAAATAGGAACACTGTCATGGGCAGTTATTTTTAACAAAAAAAAACAACATTGCCGACAATAATTCTTATGCAATCACAGAATGACCATCCATGTGTGAGAGTATTCAGAGTGTAAAACCAACCAATTAAAAAAAATATATATGCATATCCTGAGGAAAACACATGTCACTTGTGCACTGCTGGTCATTGGAAAAGGGTATAAATTCATTATAATCTGTAACCAGTTGTGAAATCCTGACCCAACTGCCCCAGCCATAGATCAACTGCAAATTTGCTTTGCAAACAAGGCTAACATTCTTCTTCCTCTTCCAACCTGACTACAGTACTGCTTCACCTCACACAAATACTGTGAAGATAAGCTTTGCTTGGCTGTAATTGCAGATATACCGCTTTAACTCTGACATCAGAAAACTTGACACTAATTTTTACCCTGGAGATATGAATATATTTCCATGAGATAAATCCCTTTTGCTGCATTTGGCAGGTGAGCTTTACTCATCTGCAGCATGATATGCAGAATAGTGCTCTCTATATGCAGACAGCTGTACAAGTGACCCAAAAACTATATTCACATATGGTACTACAGTACTTGCCTGCTGTGCTACTATTTAGGATTTCAATTCAGTTATCTGACAGGTGACTCCATTTGAATGTGCACTTCATTCCATATCTTTAAAATCTTGCATACGGATGTGATGTTTTTTTTTATGTACAGAAAATATTAACAATAATGAAATTTCATTTTGGATTAATTTGATTTCACGGTATGTGATACATAGAATTCAAGATATAGTAATCAACAGAAGAGGTCAAGGCTACACTTCAATCTTCTTTGCAGGTTCATTCAAAAGTAATGGGCAAGTAAATCTCTTGTTTGCTACCAGCTTGTCCAGTCCTTCACCAGCAAATGATACAAGGGGTGAGATCTCTACCACAACTGGGCATTCATCCCATCGCATTTCTTTTTGGCTGTGGAAACGAAATAAGATATAGTTTAAAGGTGAATCCTGCATATAACATGTTATTAGTTTATACAAAAAGATGAAACACTGAAGGAAAATGAAGAGAAAACAAATACACTATTTGTAATGCCTATATCTGTACAGTATAAGTTAACACAGGTGCAGTACCTGAAAAATAAATATCAATTTCTAAAGATAAAAAGAAACCAGTGGATTTTAGTTACTGCCATGAATATTATTGCAAATAAAATATTGAAAGGTGGTGTTTGAATGATTTAGAAATATATTTACAGAACTGAGGAAAATTGTAAGGTTCAGGAAAATCAAGATGAAAATAAATACAGTACAAGACAAGTCAGTGAAGTTGTATTTAAAATGAAAAGGTTAATATGTTGAATGAACAAAAGATGGGAAGGTATAAAGGGATTTTCTTTCTAGTTCAATATATATTCACAAGTTTCCTGACCTTTAAAATAATGTTAGATTCAAATTGGACTATGGGGACCATTTTATTATGACTGTCCTGTATTATCAAGATACGGGGGATAATTTCCCTAGAGCCAGAATTAAATACTCTGACTAATGAATAACTGGGTTCCAGACATATCACTCCTGGAGAAATCTTCAAAATAATATTCAGAAAGAATTATGTACAATTCGAGTCAAACAAGGATACAGTATACTCGTACTGACACATTTTTACATTAGGTAAGAACATGGTAAATTTTATGTCATATTAAATCATCATTAGATTTCATAAAACATAAGTCTTAACTCATTAGGCCCATGGTTCAGTAGATAATGGAAAGAAGAATATGGTAAAATTACAAAAATTTGAAACAGTAAGTACAGTATAGCAATGTTTACAGGAAGATGCAGTGTTGCCGAGTTCCACACACACAGACATATACTGTCAGTGAAACCTGTAGTAGACTGACTATAGGGGCACGAGACATACAGATCAAGGCAAAAACTGAAGTTGAAGGATATACAGTAAGTAAAGGAAGTGTGTGAGAACATCATTTTCACTGGTGTGTGCAGAGATGTGTAGATGTACAATTTGTATAAAAACTGTGCTAGTTAGTGCTCATTCTGTGTAGATGTTCCTTTTTTTGGAATCAGCAAGTATGATACACAGAGGAAGAGAGGTTACCTAAATAGCACAGCACACAAACAGAAATACATCAAAAGTTTGGAGGCAACATTCTATAAAACAAAGCACTAATTAGATTGCCTCAGATTACTGAGAGTCTAACTCTAATTACACCGCTCTCTGTGTCAAGTCCATATAACAGAATACTCATAGAGAAAATTTTATTGACAAATGATTATTGTGCTATTACAAAAAATTACAGAATATATATATATATATATATATATATATATATATATATATATATTGTAATTTTCTGTAATAGCACAATAATCATTTGTCAATAAAATTTTCTCTAGGAGTATTGTGTTATATGAACTTGACAGAGTGAAACAAAATCTACCTTGGAAATAGGTACTGTAGTGTAAGCTAATAAAGCTAAAAACATACTTAATATCATATAATCACACTCTTTATATAATGTACACTATTACTCATTCAAGTCTTTTTCCACTCAATGAAGGAATGAGGGACACGAGTAAATATAAACACATTTTCCCTTCATTGTTATTCAGTCATTCTTACCGATGTAAAGTAAAAGAAATGTTCAGCTCTCGTATTCCCATTTTACAATACTGTAAGTTCCTTAAATCTGGATTACCAGTCACTTCACACAAGTCAGCATTACCCTTCAGCAATACAGTACACACTTTATCAAAAATTGCTTGATACTAAAATCTCCACTTATTCACACACACACACACCGCTGCTTCTAATGTTTCCTTCATCCCATCCTCCTATCTTTGCCTTGGTTGTTCCCTCCTCTCATCCATCTCTTCCTTATAACTCTTTTAAGCAATCTTTCCCTACCCACTCTCTTAATACAGTACAGTACATTTATGCACCAGAGAAGACCCTAATTTGCTTTCTGCCTGCCACTTCAATCACCTCCACATCCTATTTCAGAATTTCGTATTGTCTACATACTAATTACCCACATACTGCTCTCAGACATATCCTTTCAGTTGCTTCTAATTTCATTCTTCCTCTTGCATCCAGAGTCAGTACTTAACATCCATATACTACCCGTAGTAGAGTATTGTCAGCTCACCATCCTCACCTTTGCTTCCTCTGAAATCAATCACTCTCACTTTCTTGCCTCGCTGACAAATCCACTCACAGATATACAGTATACGATACACTCCACTAACTCCATTCAAATAAGCATTTTTCGCCCCCCTGTCTCCAGTCTTTACTTATTTTCAGCATATTACTTTTGGTCACGTTCAGCATCGACTTCTTCCAAGTACACATTCCCTTTTGTAATTTTTTTTTCTGAATCACTCCTTGAGCAGTGTCATTTACATGCAGCAGCTGACCCATCTCCTGTTAACACTTGTATCATCATTCACCAAATTTGCACTGCTCTTTGTCATTCTTGCTTTCATCTCTCCTACTGCAGTACCTCATCCAAGAAAGTATTAAATAATCCCTGCAACTTTACTTATCAATATTATTTTTATCAATATAGAGAGAAATTGGATAAACATGCAGTATTAGTAATAAATGACAAATAAACTAAACATATGGACAGATCAGTTATATAGCAACAATAAATTGTGTTGATAGACACATAAGTTGAAATAAATGCACCTAAAAGCATCAATAAGCTGCAGTACTGCACAAAATGGTCATAAAACCATTACTGCAATGTTGACAAACAAATATAAAAGCATCAATACACTATACAGTATATATACTGTATGAAAAGCATCACTAAACTTTACTGAAAGACATACCATTAATACTATATGTATAAGTAAATACCAATGGACCATTGTGAAGAAAAGTTATCAAATTTGGAAAACTGTGTACTAAGGAAAAGTTGATTGTGAGTTTGAACAACAGAAAAGTAATTAAACCAAATTGAGAAAGGAGACAAGGAAAAATACATTTTAAGTTGTATGGAGACACAACAAGGAAGTGTAGTGCTTAGGGAGTGTGGGCCAGTGGGAGTGGATGTGATGGCAAATAGAACAGTGATTGATGAATTGTACCTTAGATTTGCAAAAATAAGTGTGATGAGAAAAATATGGTGAAAGAGAACCATGTCAAATATGGGATGAACAGGGCTCCTGTTGAGTTGATGTCATTATTTCCTAAGTATGAAACATGGATTCTGGATACATGAGAGAGCAAATTAGAAGTGAAAGAAATTATGTGTTTGATGTGCTCCATGTGGGATACTGTAATTGAGATGTAAAGAACAAGAAATACTGAAATATGAAGGAAATTTGGAGGTAAAAGTGTTGGGTAGAGAGCAGGTCATTGAGAGTATAGAAAGAGAATGATTGGTAAAGAGTGTGAGTCAGAGATGGAAGATCAATACCTGTAATGAGTTGGATGAATGGGCTGAATGTTGCATTAGAAGAAGCAGCATGTATGAATGAGTGGGTGGAGAGCATGATATCATATGATTTTGGAGGGAAGGATGTGTTGCTGATGAGTGACACTAACTTGTGTGAAGTGACGGGTAAACTAGATACTGTAACTAGATTTGGGGCTATGTTGTGGTAGGGGAACTCCACACTACAGTATAAAATATCTTTGGCAGGAGTAAGAATGTAAGAATGAATGAATGAATATATATATATATATATATATATATATATATATATATATATATATATATATATATATATATATATATATATATATATATATATATATATATATATATATATATATATATATATATATTACACAAGAGAAAAACTTTTAAGAAATTGAGATAAAGCTGGAATTCTTTCTAAAAGCAATATGGCAAACATACAATGTAAGATGTGACATTAGAATACTATGTTCAGAAGAATAATATACATTTTGAAAACAGTACTTGCCACAGACACCACAGAGAAGCCCAAAAATATTTTAGTAGCCAATATGAAAATATCATAGAGTTTATATACTAAGAAGATTGCATCAATAATAAGGATTGCAAGAAGATATGCAACTGGGATAAATGTGATAAGTACTTTAGTTGGAGTTATATATAGTACTGTACTATATATTCATAAGTACAGTAAATACCAAGTACAGTAAACTTGTGCTTGTGCATGCTCCTTGCAAGGAATGTATAAAATAGTTCAAAGATATTTCTGAAGGGTCCCTTTTACCTTCTGACAACTAATTACTGAGATATTACATTCAAGAAACCATATCATAAAACAGCCTACTCAAGTAATATACTCCAGTGAGGAAGAAGTCCCTTAAGTGATAATCAAACTATTAAACAACTTTCCCATAAAAAAATGAAAAAAATCTTTACAATAACAATTTATGCCTCAAGCAAATTACTGGATACAGCAATTCAGTGTACAGTAACTTAAACAAACAAACAACCTTATGCCATCTCCCACTGTCACAGGAGTCACCTCTCTGGTGTGAAGGGTTAGCTTAGTGCACAACATTATCATAATGAAGGAACTGTCCATACTCATACCATAGTCAATAATATCAAGCCAATCCTGCTTTATTCTTGACTTCAGGGATATTCAATGCATCTCCAAATGCAAGCTATAAATTTAGAGTATACTGTAGTACAATATTCCTGTACCACCCAAAGACTGTCAACAAAATACTAAATTAAATTTGTGTTACTTAAAACATTCACACCCAAGCATAACTAATGTTCAAGTAATTTCCAACAAACCTTCATCATAAAAAGTAAGCAAGAAGTTATTATTTCATTAATGATCTTGTGTTCCCTGAAATTTATATAAACTGTGCCATAGTAACTAAGAACAAGGAGGAAATAACACGGCTCATCTTTTTAATTCTATACACCTGCATGATGGCCTTCTAGAAAATTAATTAAGGGGAAAACTTCACATAATACAATATTATGCAAATACTGTACTGTAACTCAGTTTACTCTGTTCATTTCCTTATTTTTTCAGAAGCAAGTGGTACAGTACAGTACAGTACAGTACAGTACAGTACAGTACAGTACAGTACAATATAGTATAGTATATTATAGTATAGTATAGTATTGTATAGTATAGTATTGTATAGTATAGTATAGTATAGTATAGTATAGTATAGTATAGTAGAGCAGAGCAGAGCATAGCATAGCATAGCATAGCATAGCATAGCATAGTACAGTACAGTACAATATAGTATAGTATAGTATAGTATAGTATAGTATAGTATAGTATAGTATAGTATAGTATAGTATAGTATAGTATAGTATAGTATAGTATAGTATAGTATAGTATAGTATAGTATAGTATAGTATAGTATAGTATAGTATAGTATAGTATAGCATAGCATAGCATATCATAGCATAGCACAGTACAGTACAGTACAGTACAATACAGTACAGTACAGTACAATATAGTATAGTATAGTATAGTACAGTACAGTACAGTACAGTACAGTACAGTACAGTACTGTACTGTACTGTACTGTACTGTACTGTATAGTATAGTATAGTATAGTATAGTATAGTATAGTATAGTATAGTATAGTATAGTATAGTATAGTACAATGCTTATTCTGATCATCAAAACTAATTTTACATAATTATTTCCTATACCCTGTACTATACCACCAAATTTTAACCTGATGTGAAAAAGCAATTTTCACTATCTAAACTGACCGGAAAAAGTCTTTAGAGCAATGTAATTTTTTGGTGTTTCAGCATTTGAAAAATTACAACAGAACTGTCTGTCAGCAAGATGAGTAGAGTCAACAGAGTGAGACTTTAATGAGCCTCACAATGTAGGTGTCTCCACAAAACAAAGTCCAGCTAAATTAGAATTACAGTATTAGTAACACTATCACAGTATCACTGTAACAATAATTTAGTTAAATTATGCGAATTGAAGACAAATTGTTCTTGCATCATCCACAAAACAATCTTTTTTGAACTTGATATCAGAAACAGATTTGTAATTAAATAAAAACAAAACTAACTCATATACAGCAAGACTTCCAAAAAAAGTTGTCAAGCTGAAAATAAAAATCCACAAGGTATCTTGTTGGGAATCCAATCTAATTAGTGTAATCAATATTGTTTTAGGCTATCTTAAAGGCCACTTGAAAACATCTGTCTATAAAAGTGATTACAAGTAATCTTAAGAGTTAAACTACAAATCAACAAGACCTTGAAAAGCCTTTGTTGATGATTCAATACATTTATAGAAAATTTAGACACAGTCAAGTACAGAAGAACAAGCACTGGTCACTATTTTGGGATATTCTGCAAGAAGAATTGGACAACAACATATTACTGCTGTTTACATTGGTACTTCCTGCAATAATTGGATGTGGTTTAAATGAGCTGATATATCATATTGTGCTTCCTTTATAGGTTAATCAATTCAATAATAATATTTGTTTCCCACCTTTACTACTATGCTCAAGCTAATATTGTAACTGAGCAAACAAACTGTAGTTCAGACAGACTGGCTTTATAGATGAAAGAACCAAAAACTATGGAAACAATATAATTTCATTACCTTTATCAGTTTAAAAAATAAGTAAAAGAATTTACACTAGTGCAATTATTCTTTTTTTAATATGTACACACACAGCATACAATTTTAAAGCCACAAGTGCCTTCTTAAGCTAACCCTTCTTGCCCTTTAGGGTGACATCCCACACAAAAATAAATATTAAAGTTAAAAACTTTAGTAATACAGTTTAAGTTTGTGAGTGTACAGCTCATCTTTGTTATTTTGGTTTTTCAGCAGTGAACAAAGGATAAATACCATTTTTTAGGGAGTCAAAGAGCCAGTGTTACTGAGGACCTGTCATTTACTTTCCCCCAAAAGAAACTGATGTGTATTCATAAAGAGGGAAAAGAGGCATGTGTGATACAGTCCCTTGCTTATCAAGACACCACCTTCACCTGAGCTCTAACCATGAACTTTGACTCCACATAGAGTAAAATATTTCACAGTCTGGGAAATGGCATAGTTATAATTTGGCCATCAAGCCCCTACTTTATTATTTCATTTGTATACTATTTACACTGAACACTGATGCATCTGAAGTTAATAACCACCAGCCTTAAGAAACCCGATCTAAATTTGTGAGTGTAATCACTTGCCTGAACCATAAGGCACAAATATGTGGTAAGAGGCGTGTCAGCCAGTTGCATCTCTTTTCCTTAATACTCAAAATGCTGCAACATAAGACACATACACATAGGGTTAAAACTATCATGGCTACACAGTATCAGCACTTTGGAGACAATTTTCCTGAGATAAAAGGTTTGTATTTATCTTAAAGGAAGATCAATTATAATTTGGATTTAGACTAATTTTTCTGTATAAAATTTCAGGTTCATTACATGAAAGATGACTTCCTTTTTGAAAATTTTTGAAGACGGAAAAATAAACTTTATAAATTGTATAATGTTGCAATCAGTTATGTTGTAATAAATAATACACAGGCATTACTTTATCTATGGAAAAAATAAAATAGTCTCAAATTCTGATTATTTCTTTTTCTTTAAAAGTCCTTTACTGTGTGTCCAAAGAGCAAAAATACAGAAATCAATTATAACATTTCTAACACATTTAACTACACAAAGCAAAAAATAATCATGAGGCTAAACACAAGTATACACAAGACATCAAATGAAGAGATGTTCTAAATAATTAAAAACTGATGAATGCTGCTATGTTAGTCAATAAATTATATAAATTAATATAGTATCTTAAAGATGAGAATTATAATAGTACAGTAATAGCATACTCATGCACCAACTGTAATGATATTGGTGTTCCAATTAAATAACATTATATACAATATATATAAATATATATATATGTGTGTGTGTGTATAAATATTGAGGAAGAAGAGTGCATCAAATTCTAAATTATAGTTTCAGCAATATAAAGTGAAGACAAAGCAGCTCAGTGCACATCTATCCTAAACATGAACATGCCAAAGATGTCATCAACATTCATTAAACACCACCATATAGCACGTGGACTTCCACATAAAAATAATACCTCACTAGTCGGGAATCGAACCCTGGACCTCTGCATGTGAACAGGGATCCTTGTGGCGCGGTGGTAGTGATCCCTGTTCACATGTTCACATGCAAAGGTTCAGGGTTCGATTCCCGACTAGTGAGGTATTGTTTGCATATACTGTACAGTATATTATATATATATATAATATGTATGTGTATGTGTGTGTGTGTGTGTGTGTGTGTGTGTGAAGAAAAGAATCTTTTCCTCTTGCCATTACATAACAACCTTTATAAAAGCCAATAATAATTACTACTAAAACTTGTAGTTCATTTACCCATCCCATTAACTCAAATACTACAGTAAAACAATCAGGGGTAATGTCTATACCACTCCTGAGTAATTCTCTATACAAAAAAAACATGTATTACAAACACAAGTAATTTCCATTATGAAAGAAGCTTTGCTTTAAAGGCTTGGCTCTTCTTTTGCAAATAAAATAATCAGATCAGATTTTATGCCCGAATCTGCCCTCAACATCATGTCTATACCAGCTATTCCCATGGAAATAGCTAGAAAATATTGAAACAAGTGTTTTCAAAGAATATGAGGCTCACCTGCAGAGGAATTTGGAATACCAGTGAACCTTAACACAGTATTTCCACCAAAGACAATGATGACTACAATACTGGGGATAAGCCCTATGTTCTCCTCACACTTCACGCATTAAGACAAAAATTTTAAGTCGGACAAATACAAATTTCAATTATGACAATCAAGTTTCATATATGTGCACTTGTGTAGTGCACTGACAAAGAGTTAGGGGGGGAAATTTTGTATCCATTAACCGGCACATAGTAAGAAAACTATTTGTTTGAGATCACTATTCTGAATCACATACAGTATTAGCACTCCTTTTAATCAAGTCCTATCTTAATTAAATTCTATGTTTTTCAATTTAATCTACAATCATTGATTCCTTAAGTCCTCCTTTAGGAAGTCTTATCAGGTCACTTTCCATGTACAGTACTATACATACTATACAGACATATTTCATAAACCTTTCTTGTAAATTTTAAGCTGTTTAATCTTTCTTACCATACACTAAAACAGCATAAAACCGACTCATTGCAATTTTCTTCTCACAATTTCTCCAGTTCCTTATATAAATTAATGTTTTGCCTACTACTGTACTTCCTCAACAATGTTACATCATTGAACACAGATTTTACCTATGTGTGTTTGTATATCATAACAAAAATATATCAAGCTAATGCATTTCAACCCAATCTTCTAAAGAACAATCATTATATAAATGGTTTTAGATATTCTGTTCAGTTAGCCAAGCATCTATAGAAAGTAATTAAAACTTTCACTATCATCAATTTCACGGGAAAAACCATCCCATTACTCTATCACAAAGGGAAAAGATACTTTTCTTAAAAGAAACAGTGTGCCTTTACTCTATAAGCAAATGCTAGAGCAATCAGATTCCCAATTGTACTTAGACCATAAGATAGAGAAGAAGAACCAACCTGAGTACAGCAAATGATTACTTGCACAACCTTTATATCATTTCTTCCACCATTTTTTGAGTCTTAAACTAATAAGGTCTTTAATACAGAGTTGCATCAAAAGATGTAGATGTCTTAAAGCTGACACAAGTAATGAACCAAGGAAATTCTACTTAAATAAGTGTAGATTTCTTTGTCTGAGAGTTCCAAAGGAGTCATCTTTTGATATCTCCAATCTTTAACTTGTGCCATCAAAAAGAACATAAAAAAAAGATAAGAGGAGCTAAATACTGTGAGAAGAGTAAAGAAAGTTAGAAAGTTGGGCTTTATAGTCCTAAACTTGGTAACTTAAAAAATTAATCAAGAGATCTTCATATGTGTTGCCTGAAAGATCTTCAGCTTGGCCACCTAATAATGAACCAGATAACATTAACAAGTGTCATCTATTTATTTTCAGTCTGATCATCTAGTAATGAGCCTAACGATCTCCAGCTTGGTCACTTAATATGGCATCTAAGGAGCTCCAGCCACATCAACTACACCCATCACACAAATATAAAATACACTAAGTACAAATATAAAATATATAAAGTTCTTATATGATAAAACAATTAAAAAACTACATGTCTGAGCTTAAGAAACTCAAATACTGTACATCAAATTTCAGCATACAGCTACTCCTCAACTTACGACATACTCGACCTACGACTACCTGGACATACGACCGCCTCAGTCGTACCAAAATTTTGTCAAATTAAGTATTTTCGAGTCCCAAAGTTAGTTATTGCGCTGTGTACTGAAAACTTTTTTTAATTCACTTTAAAATGGCTGACAAGCTTAAAAATGAAAATTTTGTGGTGCTGAGAAGAAAAAGAGACACCCATTTTAGATTTTCTATGTATTACAGTATTTAAGCATTTTCGACTTACGACCAATTCGACTTACGACCTGGATTTGGGTCCCTAACCCCGCCATAAGTCGAGGAGCAGTTGTATTTAATTCTACATCTGATAAAAAGCTAAACAAAACTGGTAACTGATCTTATCTTCCTCATGTAACTAGAGTACTGTATATGATGCTAATTTTTTCTAATATATCTCAAACGTCACACAACCAAATCATAAATCAAGTGATCTTCAATATCTCAGGAACAAGAACCTTACTCTTGTGATCAAGAAATGAGCACAAATTTCACTTAAGACCATTCAACTTTTATTTTTTTTAATATAAACCTAATTATCATATGGGTTTAGGAAATTAGTTTTAACACCCTTGCACCATTGTCTAGGCAGCATTTAAGTACTATATTAAATTTCAGAGTTGATCAAAAGCTGAATTGGTGAAAATTGCACTGATGATTGGTCAGTGCAAATAAGAATATGTCCCAAGAATGAGTGAGTGCACCACAAAACATAAGAAAATCATATGGAATAACTGAAGAATCCTTACAAGTAATTACAAGAGTATGAACAGAAAATATATTTAGACAGGTAAGAAATACCATCTTTACATACAGCATGATAAGAATGATAAAAGAAATAAATGATAGCAAAGGGTATAACACCATTGGATCAAGATAATGTGACAGTCATCAATGATAACATACATGCATACCTGTTGAGTTACTCTTACAGTAATTATCACAAGACAACTATGAAAATTTGGTACATAAATGGATACAGTTCAAGTATTGTATCAAAACCTTCTTTTGAGAATAGTTTAAGTCCATATCATAAATAGTGGAGTGGATGCACAATAACATGGGCAAGTTGCTGAGTAAATTACATAAGATAAATTAGTCCAAAAATGTATAAAAGTTTGAAATCTCTTATCTTTTACTGTACTAGTAATGGTCAGTCCAAATGCTAATAATAACATGTTATTCTTTGTTACATAATAATGTAATGAAAGTTTTGTATATGAACTTATCCTTTATGAATGCATCATAAAATGAAGCATGTAATCTCAAAACTTATGAGACAGACACAACACCAAGAGCACCACAGATTCCAACCCAACCACCACCATAACAGAAACTACCACCGCCACCTCCACAAAAAGCACCAACACCATTGAAGATCCCGGAGATGTAAGGGAAATTCATACTTACGCATCATTATTATTGAACTCTGTGTTGGCATTTTCAGTGGTAGGACATTTTGGAGCAGCAGCAGGGCTATATGAGGAAGGGATTGCAGGAGTAAGAAATAAAATGAAATAAAAAATGGCAAAGATAAACAATAATACCAGGAAGTACTGTATTGGATAAGGTTTCAAAATAAAAGTAAAAATACAAAAGTAAATAGCAAGAAATATAAATTTAAAGAAAAACTGTAATGTACAGTACAGCACTAACATTACTGCTAAAACTGAAGTTAAGAAAGGACAGAGGTGATGCAAGTTGAACAATATATGGTAATACTACACATATATACACTATATAGGCAGAAAATTATTTCCAAACTTTTAAAGAGATTCTGATAAAGGATCAAATGAATAAAAAATATGACCTAAAAGAAAAGAATAAGAGTACAAAATCCACTCTTGTCTAAGGTGACAAAAGAGCTTTGTAACCCAAAGCAAATACAGGATAGCCTGGGTCAAGGAACAAAGCTCTATTGGACCACAAAAGAATTATAGAGTGTTGGAACTGATGCAATATGTACACAAACCAAGCACCAATGTTGTAACAACTATGCTACTTCTTATACAGTAAGCTCCCTGTAAAGTCTCAAGTGTTACCTTGTAGTTGCCAGTATTGATTAAAAAAATGGAATATTTAAAATTTGCTACACTGCATATAAGATATAAGGTATCTAACAGTACTGTGCCTGTTACACATATTAAGAAGTCAAATTTAAAAAAAAATAATAATAATAATATCACAGAGTTTGGGTATGCATTGTGTAAAAGAAAAAGGAAAAAAAATAGGAATTTATTTGTGTAACTTAAAACTGATTAAAGGAGATTCAAATGATTTTGTGTTAAATAATATTTCTGAAGAAAAATTTTATTCTTCATATTTTAATAATGGGAAGATGTTCAAACTTTGGATGAATTCTGTAATTGTGAAAAATTATCTAAGGTGCAAGTAAGCAGGAGAAATAAACAAGGTGCCGTTAACAGAACCATTAAAAACAAAAATAAACCCAAATGTAAAATTCCTTAGGAAAAGTTCTGAATATTTCTTGTTCAGTCATCACTTTCTTAATGACTGTGTTTGGAAAGTAAAGGAAATATTGTACAGTAAAAGTCACCTGAATATGAATGCGGAAAAACCATAGAAGGTATAAATACATAAGAGAGAGATGGGAAAGTGGTCATGTGACAGTGGAAGTTTAAAAATGTATCAATAAGCCCACTATGGCTGTATAATAGATGAGGGGGAAGAAAATTAACCAGTCATCAGAATGAAAAAAAATTAAGGCAGAAATTTTACTTATCATTAGGTAATACTTTCCATATGACATCTGAATTGGTAACAAGGGCTAAAATAGATACTACAGTACTGTAATTCTGAAAGAAACTTAAGTTTAATAATGCTGCCTCCTCCTTTGTGAAGGAACATCCTCCACTATCAAAAGAGGCAGCATATGTTGGTGTTCAATTGGTAAAATAATAAGTTCTGTACAGACCAAAGTTAACAACACCCTGTTGACTTTATCCACCACCTGTAATTATACCTGGGGTTTTCAAGACTATTAATAAAAGCTACCACTACAGTAATGCTCACCCGTTAAGTCTACAACCAAGTAGAAAAAGTCCCTTGTAAAACTGAAAATGTGTAAAGATGATAATTTAGTATTTCTGTAGTCAGCACAAGGGAAAAAACACAACACCCGAAGAAGGAGATGAGTGTCTTGGCGTTTGTGCATGTCAAAAATCTACACAGTACAGTATAATATAAACACACACATGAAAAGTGCGCCCAAACCAACTCTGCAAGCTTTACCCAAAACATATAACTACTGTACTTCTGTCAGAGAAATCCTATACCAAATAGATGGACCCAGTAAATATTTAGACTCACACCAACAATTAGTCTTGATAAAGAGGTTTACTCAATCAATCATATCACCTCATGAACTGTGACTGACTGTTTGTTTTGCTGAATGACTGTGGCATTGTCAGACTATACAGTACTTGGTTTCCTTACAGTGTTTGAAGGAATTTGCTACTGGAAACCACTAAAAGTACTGTAATCAACATCACTGCATAGTATATACTGCAATAGAAATATAAATCTAATTGCAGCATACAACTCAAAAGTACAGCATTACAGCAGAAAACATTATAAAAATGCAACGATTATATATCCTTTAAAAAAAATCTCATCTAATTGGCATTAGTTTTCATTTCTCAGAGTTTAGTATTACAAAAACCACTCAAGTTCAATCCACCCTTATATAACTTACATACCTGTTTACTACTGTTACTGGTTTGTCTTCTGGCCTATAACACATATCATTAATTGAGATGTGACACACAGACATGCTTGTTATAAATTTTAGAAATACATTATGTTTTATAAAGTATAGCAAATTATTATGTTAGTTAGGCTCCAAACTGATAAAAAGCATTCTTAGTATAATATATAACAAAATCACCTTAAGCTTGTTAGTAACAATTACCATACAAGTACCTAATTATATGCACAATCTTCTAAAATGCCATAGGTGTCAGATATTAGTTGTGCAGATATAAAGCTTCTATGTTTGCACTGTTATCTAATTACTGTACAGTATATAGATTTCCTCAAGGAGAAGCATATATAAGGATTATATAATATACAAAAAGGGTGATAAGTTTTTGCAATAATTGTAGTCATGCAAATTAAATAGCAGCCTCAAGGCTACTGCCTCATGAAGGATCACCGTCAGGGAGTGAGGCATTGCAGATAAGGCAAATCATGCACTCATGCCAGCATAGTACTGTAATTCAGAATACTTATGCATCTACTGTACTTACATTTTCTAATGAATGCCAAATTTGATAGTACAGGTACAGTACTAAATTTATAGAGAGAGAGAGAGAGAGAGAGAAAGGGGGGGGGGGGGCTCTGCCTCCCAGTCACTGCAAATACTGTACGTATATATACATGAGAGAAACTTAAAAAGAAAGCTTACCTTCACCTAGACTATAAAAAAACATGTATGGTACTGTATGTAAATGAAGGTTCCATCAAAATCTATGAATGCTCCCAGTTTTAGTTATCCTACAGATCACAGACTTTTTTCTTTCAACCATCAAACTTCTTACCTTGGAATAAGTGGAAGGGGTTCTCCCTCAGAGTCTATTAGGGTGCCCCCAGCATTCAGGAGGTAGCGGTGGTGAAGGGAGAAGAGAGCATGACGACAAGTGGTGGGCGTGTCCTTCTCTGCTCCATCCCCATTCTTAAGAGGAGCAAACTCATCCTCACGTATCACCTCCCACACTGCTAAAGTGCTGTTGGAGCATTGCACAATAAAACAGAACTCTCTCATGAAGCACTGTCCGAGTTTATTTCAACATTTTGCAACAGTAATTTTACCAAAATGCATCATGATTCATGTTGTATAGTATTTTCATTCAATTAATTGGTTTATGCTCAAACTACAGTAAGAATTTTCACAGATCAATGACAGTCTACATTCACATACTAGAATGTCAGATATGAAATAACAATATATATATTTTTAAGCAATGCAGCTATGATTAAGTGCAACAACAGTCGTCTGCCTTCACTAAACACAAGGAAAAAAGAATGCACATGGGTCAGTACAAGAATCTGAGTTGTGCTATGTCACACAATACAGTCATTAGTTACAGTATCAAGAAATTTCCAGCCCCAAAAAACTTGTCCTCTGTTAACAGTTTCCATATGTATACTTTATATGTTGCATACAGCATACAAGTTGAGATTATGGCTATGAATGTGTGGGGATTTCTAATACAGTAGTTATTTTATCTCTTTCCTGTCACTTTTTCACCTGTTATGCACAACTCTTGCTAAGGTTTGTGTACCCATTAAGTTATGATGGCAGACACTGTACATATTTTTGCATTGGTATTAAAGTACAGTACAGTACAGTACAGTATTGAAAACTTTAGTGATGCTATGAAAATACAAACTACATTGTCTTATGTATATACTGTACATAATATAAATGGAAGATGCATTGGGCTTAAAAATTACAAAGACCAATTTATGAGAGGAAAACTCTATGAGCAAAACAAAGCATATGGTGTTATGTCAAAAATAGACTATAGATAGAAAGTTATGATTTTCAAACAAGAATAGACTACTGTACAAACTTTATACTGAACCAATTTTTTTTCTTTATTCTTTGAAATATTTTAACATTTCTAATAAATGTTTACTTTTATCTTATACTGTTTAAGAATACAGTAGTGTATTAGTACCATTTCCAATAACTTTCTTAGTTCTATCTAATGTAAGCTTATTGACACAATCATGTTTTTTGCTCAAACATTTACAGAAATATTAATTATAAAAAATATTAACAAAGCTTAATGATTCAGTGTTTTCTAAAAGAGACAAAATTTAGAAAAGTGGTTCAAAGTAACCAAGAACTAAATACCAGTAAACACTATGACCTACTACTGTATCACATCACTCACTTTGAAAACTGAAAGACGTCGAAGACAAACTTTTCCATCTTGATGCCATTTGGTTTCTCTGGCTTGACACTCTTACCATCAGCAGTTACCATCGCGATCTTCTTCTTAGCCACATGATGGTGCATGCTTGCCTCGTAGTCACTATAAGGATACACTTATTACTTGCAGGAATCACATGGGGTGCTGAACATTAACAGGCATTCCTATCATCTAGAAAGTTATAGATAGAACTTTTGGAGAAATAAAATAGTTGTGTAAAAAACACAAGATGTTAATGGATATGCTGCTTCATGAAATATATAAAAATTAAATTTTATATCAGGAGCGCGTCAATTTTTACAATTACTCGTATTTACATTATACAGTTTGGTTCTTTAGTGATGAAAAGCTTAAAGATTTTATGAAGATATTAGCTACACAATTTTATATACACAACTGAATATCTCAAAACTGTAAGGAGATAAAGTGCTTTGATATATAATACCTGCACAGTATTGTTTTTTAACAAATAAATGTCCACATCTCACTCTGAGTACCACTGTCGGAAATTATCCTTACAAATTAAAAAAATAATCCTGCAGTAAAGAGAAGCACAATTTTAACAGCAGGAACACCAATAATAAAAAATTGCTTTTCTACTTAAACCAACCAATGAACACACACAAACATATACACTACCCTTTATGTGTATACAGTATTGTACTGTGTACAGTATATCATCACCGTTTTACTAACGTAAAATGGGGATGACGATATACTGTATATACGTATACAATACCCTGTCACAGTACTATACAGTAGTACAGTATATATAGTGTTACAAGACTTCTATGCATCTCGTGAATGAGGTATTACCTGTACAATACAGTCAACAAGTGGTAAATAAATTTAGCAATTCTTTGATATGTTGATATTTGCTTCATCTCTTATACTGTACTGGTATGTATTTAAATAAAAAAAATCTCAGTGTGTCCCTTGGCCAACACCCTCAATATCCAAAGTTTCACTAATATTAGTTCATCACCTTTAGAGATGGCTCAGTAAAATACAGCAAAGAAGAATGAACTAACTGCAAGAGCTTCCATTCTGGTAACTGTTAACATATTTCAAATAAAATTATTCTTATAACAGTCATCAGACTATAATTTTCCATTATGGGGATGATTTGCTGGACACATGGAATGTGCCTGCCTGGGCATAACTATGAAATGCTGCCTTGGTTTTCAATTTAATATCACAGATGTACCTGTACCTTATATAACTTGGCTAGCAATAATCATCACATTTAAGTCTATCAGGTTGAGATAAAAAGGATAGCTGAGGGCTGAAAATATGGAAATACTGTATTATGTTTCTACATAAAGCATTTGTATATTACTGTATATCAAACAGTGTTTACAAGCATTCCATTGAAGGGTAATAAAATATCTTAACATTACTAGGAGCTCTTACCAAAGAAAAAATGGCAAACAAAAATGAAGAAGGATTTAACAGCAAAGGTTACTAAGAAAGCAGACTTATCAATGACTGTTTGTTAGAGTAAATACACAAATTAATGAAACTTTAACACTTTAGTAACACACACAATACAGTAACTACTTTTACACTCACTGCAACCACACTATCACTATTACTTACGACATCATCAAGCGTAGATCATGCTATAACTGTACTTGACTTTCTGACATTGGTACCTAGGCTAAGTACACTGGAGTGATGATCTCTACTCATGCCCTAGCTGTGACATGTCTATAAGTTCTGTAGTCTATCCTCTCCACATGTTACACAAGCTTATCTTAGTTCTAGCTTTTGTTTTCAATACACTGTAATTTATACTTTTATTTTGGCAGTAAGTTTAAAAATTACATGATGAAACCTACTTGAGTGGATAGCACTGTGCTGTATATCATACAATAAAACATTAACTTATAGACTGGAACATACCGGTATGTAATGTAAACTGTACTGAGCTGTTCAACTCCCAAATAAAGTACAGAATACTATACTGTACTTTGAAGGTACAGTATTGTGGTTGATATCTACCTGTCCACCCAAGACTTAAAACTAAATCAGCATTACAATGGATATCTGTAGAACCATTACCATGCAATTATACTGTATTAGTATTTTAATATTGGTTAGAAATAATAAATTGTACTGTTTCAACTAAATATCAGTGTAAATAGAAGCACGCTCATAAGCGATTCATTGCCACTTGATCAAAATATCACAATATTCTTTAACTAACACAGGCTTTGAATATTAAAAATTTTAAGGGAATAACTAAAATATTCTGTCAAAGATTAACTGTTTTGGGCAAAAAAAAAAAAGGCTATGGTATAATACTACTCTCAGGTTTAATAATTTTAGATTAAATGAAAAAAGATACCCGGTATACAAATCTTACTGTGTGTCAAATTGTATCTATCTATCAAACATGTCTTACTGTCTTCATTCCTCTCCCAATTTTGTGTTGGACATATCAAAAGAAATGGAAACCTCAAGACAGGCAGGAAATGTAAGAGAATGATGATATACGTTAGTAAGTGTAGAAAGCGACAGAAAAAGAGCTTAAAAAACAAGTAGGAACACTCTATACACACAAACATGCTCCTCAAATTCTTGACTACATACAAGTCTGAGCCCAACACACCACTCTCTACCACTCTCACACAACTCTAACACTGGTACCACGCTTCAGTACTTACCCACTGGACATGCAAAAATTGTAAGAGAAAAGTATTAGTAATCAGTACCTCCACCTTAATGTTAATCCTATACTACAGTATTTATATTCTAGGAAGTATAAACACTTAATTATAGCATGGCAAGTGTAATATGATTCTCATGTAACATGTGACATTTTCTCATATAGAAAGAGCCAATGCAGGTTTCTTTCACCCTGTCAGTTTGATGTTAAGTCACATCTGCCAAAATTTTTCACCCAGCTGTCTGACCAAGGCTGTCATGAAAAATTGCCCTGTGTTAAAACACAGGCCAAAAGACTTGTGTGATGATGAGCTAACCACTCCATAATATTACACCATAATAAATGTAGAATACAATGCACTATACCCATACAAGTCTCTAGTAATAAACAGAAGAAAAAGAGAATCTAAGATCCCTTGTATAAGCAAATATTTAATAAGAAGTCAGTAGGGTCGGGATATATTGTAACTTTATATAACGATTTTTTTATATCGCGGCTACCAAAATTATCAGAATTTTCCTATATACTGTATATAGCGATAATATTTTTTTATTTCGAGAGGGAAATCGGGCAGGAAATATTTCAAATGTACCGCCATGGCAAACAAATGCGTTATTTGCTCACCAGAGGCCCCACCGTCGCTGCTCACTCACACATTCACGCTCGCCCGCTCAGTCTTTCTGAGTGAGTGACAAGAAAGCATGCGACTCTGCTGCAGATTACGACTTCTAAGGTGAGTGGAAATGGGTTGCTAGTGACGTGAAAAGTGAAGTGAGGATAATGAAAAGCTTAATGGAAATGATTTAATACTGTAACTAAAATTTTTGGTTTGTTCATTTACGATTGTTCAGTGAGGGTGGCAGTGTGCCTTCTGTTGTTCTCAGGATGGCGCATCAACTGCCGAGTCTGGTGCAGATTCAAATTTCTAAAGTGAGTGTAAATGGGTTGCTAGTGATGTGAAAAGTGAAGTGAACATAATGGAAAGCTTAATGGAAAAGATTTTATATTGTCAGTAATATTTTTGGTGTTCATTTATGTAGGTGTGGGATTGTCAAGTGAGGGTGGCAGTGTGGCGTCTGCTGCCGAATCTGGTGTTCCCAAGATGGTGCGTCAGCTGCCGAGTCTGGTGTTCTTTAATATTGATAATGAAATAGCCTGTTGTTCCCGAGTCTAGTGTTCATTGGTGCCTTAGTTAGTAAGAAAATGAACTCATTAAGTCAAGTTTAGTCACCTTTTTTGGCCTCCAGAACCTAACTCTATTTTCCCCATTGATTACATGTAATTATATACGTATCGTGATTTAGTATACTGTATAGCGAACATCGTTGGACCCTATCTCGCGATATATCCTGACCCTACTGTATTGAAAAACAGTACATATTCCCAAACCAGTTATTGTCCAAAATTGTTTAGTTCATTCTAAACTAACTCAAAATAAAGATTAACACCTGGATTTAAAATAAATCTATTTACAGAGCTCGACACTTATATGTATCACTTTACATGCCCGAGTTTACTTCAGAATTTCACCTCAAATACTTATATAATATACCTGTATTACTAAAGTTTCCTGACTAACTAAAACGTAGAAATCAAGACAAAAATTGAGTGGAACCTTATCATGGCAATCATCATTACACTTAAGTATTTCTGTTCTAACAATTACTTGATAGGTTTAGGTATGGGAAAATATTAAAGTACAGAATATCAAAAAGGATGGTGGGGACAGGTGGGATGGATGAAGAGAAGGACAAGGGCACACCACAGCACCCAAGCTGCTTCACAGTAGGGGCTAAGGAAATACATTTTGTCAAGAGATCCACTCATTTCCCACTAAATAACAAAGAATATAATGACCCAATATATCACGTTTACTGTAGTATTATGTATAAATGCCTCATTCAAATTAAACTTGATTACAAATACAGTACAGTATATCCAAAAAATTTGCTGAAATGTAATTGGTTTGCATTTACACTTCACTGTTAGTCCTCTTCAAAATCCTGTTCCAATCACCTCATCCTTGTCTATTATAATCCTGTCAAGTTTCACTTGGTCATTAACTTTCTCAAACAATAATTATGTTTTTAATGAATGAAGGTCCGTCACTTAATCATATAGAAAACCAATCATATCAATGTGACACTAAAATATTCATCCTCCTGTATTAAGAAATTTTCACATTACGCATTAAAAATGTTCATCCATCAATCCATAACGTTCCTCCTCAAGTCCTATTCAAACATTTCTCATACATACAAAGTAAAGTACCTGCATGGTGATTATGAAACAACTAACAATGAGACAAAGCATGAAGGAAAATGTTAAAGATACTTACTATACAACTTTTTTGAGAAACTCTGTGGTGAAGTAGTGGTTGCATATGTTACCAGCAGAGAATGTGAGTCTCCCATCAGGGTTTCGTTTTTGAGCAGTCTTGAGGGTGATCTCACTGTACTCCACCACTTGATAGATCCCATCTACCTTGCACACCACACCTGAAGTGAAGATGAAGACTCTTTTTGGGATGTGTCCTTCAAGTGGACTATAAACATGACAGTAAACACAGTCAGAGCATCACTTTTTACATTACACTATGGCAGTAAACACGCAGATTTACTCACTGTACAGTACAACAAAGATCTTTCAAGTACTACTGTACAGAGTATAAAACTGCTTTCAGTGACTGTAGCCTGAAAAATCATCAACATTCCTTTCACATAACCACATCTGAGACCTTGGTGCAGCATGTCTACATACAGCACCAAGTTTGAGTTACTGTATTATGAACATCCCTACAAGACACAAGCAAACTGTGACTTACCAACAGCCTCTGTTGGGAAAGCTTTCTCTACAACTTTGGCTCCACTGTCTGCTCCTTTAGAGAGACAGTAACCAATGAAGATTGGATCTGCCATCTTGACTAGAATATTGTCTACACAATATACATGCACGTATTTGATTCCACGGCGCTCCATATCTTCCAGAACATTCTTCTCCTGCATGTGAAAACAGGAAAAGTGATTATTCTCAGGTTTCTTAATTTAACAAGTTCTAAATCATTCTCGAATTCAAGAGCTAAGATACATAAGGCTATCTGATGAAGAATATGATGCCAAAGGGACAAGGCTCTACAAAATTTAGCACAACAATACAGTACAGTACTACAGTATTTCATTTTCTAATATCCTTTCTAATAAAATCAAATAAATATCCTAAAACTTAAGAAAAAGTTTTAAACCAAAATGGTGATTTTATAAATCACTAACCCTGAGTGCCCTGTAGAGCCCACCGTTGCCATCAGGAGCACGGGCCACCTTATTTTGTGATTCCAAGATGATCTTGCCGTCAAAGGTAAAGCAAGGTAACATTCCCTGCTCAAATACCACCAGGTTTTCTTTCTCCAATCCAAAGTAATGATTACGAGCAAAGAAATCCATGGTGGGCTCCTTTGTATGCTCGGAAGTCATGATGTACCACGGAATGTTTCCACACTGAAACAAAATACAACATAAGTTAACTTTCATTCAAGAATTAGAGATACTACAGAATTGTATCAATATTTCCAACAGATAAAATAATAATGCATTATTCAGAGACACACCAAAGAATTCATAAAACCATGCCTCTATATGTGGAGGTACAGGTATAGTACTGTACCTTGCCATATTTATCCTTTGCCAGACGCTGTAGCCGCAATAATCTCTCAGCCTGAAGCTGGTACAAAGTCTTCCCAGATGGTAATTTGACATTATACATGCCCTTAGGATAATCAACACCAAGTCTAGTTCCCTGTCCACCAGCCAGCAGCAGCACTCCCACATGACCTTCACTTACCTCATGCAGACCTGCAAATACACAAATTTAATTTTGTCAATTCTGGATTTACACTTATCATGACCCGTTATTTGCTCACATTATGTATTTAACTATAAGGTTCTCTTTGGATCCTAGTCCAAAAAACATGGGTTTAGTTATGTGAGAGATGAGGTGCTGTTGGGTTCGTGCAGAGCCAACCATTCACCACATCAAAGTCTCAGGTTAAGCCAACTCCTCTCATTAGCAAGCTGCCATCCCATAAATTGCGGGAAACAAAGTAAATGATTTTAGCTTTTAGTTTATCTGTTAATAACAAATGTACAATATTCCTTTTACACTAAGAAGATTATTTTTATTTAACATCTGGAACCAATTTCTGAAACTTCAAACTAAACAAATACACAATACAGTATTGTAAATACTAAAAATATAAAGAATAGACTTGTTCACTAACCTGCCTCCTCATAATCATTGATCTTCTCCAGTGGGGTGCGAGTGACAGATCCATGCATCTCAGCAGGGATGGGCTGCATTCTCTCATCAAGTTTTGTCTGCTCCTCATTCAGTGATGCTACAGTTCTCTTGTAGTATCCACACACTTCTTTGAAGTCCAGGCTGTGAGAAAAAGTTACAGTATAACACAACAGACATTATCCAAAATAACTCGCATTATAATGACAATTAAAAAAAGATGAAAATTAGTATAATTTATGAGAAAAACACACCCAGTTATCACTAAGCAATTTTAATATGAAAAAAGTCTTCTAAAACTCATTAAGATGTACTAACACGTGCAGAATTCATATGAACTTATAAATACAGTACACACATATTAAGCACATGTCAGTTCATACTGTCTGGCTAATCTGTTATGTCTTCTGCCACTTATTGGGTACAAGGGCCAGTAAACTCATCACCCAATACTAAATAATTGTTATAATAAGAAAGTTTGCAGCACGTTTTATATAAAGTTTAATTCTGGAGTAAAGAAATGCAGTGAATTACTGTAATATAATTTGAAATACAGTACAGAACAGTTATACAATATGCCTTAAAATTAAATATCAGGTGTTCCTGGGCAGTGATTCACAACAAACATGAGAGAGGAAAATGAGTGGAAAGCTCATGAGATACACACCTATTCTACTGACCAGTTAAAAAGCAGTACTGCACTGTACAGTATAGTATTCATACTGTATTATATACTTGTACATAAACAAGGCTTCAAGTGTCTGGAGAAAACATTCGTCAGCAGACATTGATAAAATACTAAGATATCCAGTAGCTGTAATACTGTACTATATATTTTTATGCTTTCTGAATAAACATCTTACAGGAAAAAGAATGTTCTGTACCTAAGTCAGTCATGATGATGAACAAAAAAACTACTATATACCCTACATGTACTGCACTGTAGATGTGCTTTTGTTTTGCACCAGGGGGAATGTACTACAGCATTGTAAAATGTGATGCTACCACTTATTGTGCATCGCCATGACAGTAAGTAACTTGGGTTTTGAAACGTAAAAGAAATTTAATATTTAATAACTCCAAAAAAACATGACATGCATTATAGATAAAACTGTATTCTACTGACAACTGAGTGTGTAGATGTAGAAGCTGGCACATGAGGAAAACAGGAAACAGTGAGAGTAGGTGAGGATCAGTGAGGGTAGGTGAGGCTCAGTGAGGGTAGGTGAGGATCAGCGAGGGTAGGTGAGGATCAGCGAGGGTAGGTGAGGATCAGTGAGGGTAGGTGAGGATCAGTGAGGGTAAGTCAGGATCAGTGAGGATCAGTAAGAGTAAGTGAGGATCAGTGAGGGTAAGTCAGGATCAGTGAGGATCAGTAAGGGTAAGTGAGGATCAGTGAGGGGAAGTGAGGATCAGTGAGGATCAGTGAGGGTAAGTGAGGATCAGTGAGGGTAAGTCAGGATCAGTGAGGATCAGTAAGGGTAAGTGAGGATCAGTGAGGGGAAGTGAGGATCAGTGAGGGTAAGTGAGGATCAGTGAGGGTAAGTGAGGATCAGTGAGGGGAAGTGAGGATCAGTGAGGGTAAGTGAGGATCAGTGAGGGTAAGTGAGGGTCAGTGAAAACAACCAATATTGTGGAGAATATATGAGAGAGAGAGAGAGAGGGGGGGGAGGGACAGGACGTACCCATTGAGGTCGTTGTATAGCGTCCTCTTCTGGCCCTCAGTGAGCACCTCCCAGAACTGCAGAAGGTGTTCCTGGCCGTGGGCGGTGAGGCGCTGGCGGAGTTGAGCCAAGTCCATCATGATGATCTGGAGGACCAAACACAATTCTCAATTAATGCTCAAGAATTTCACACCACCTTAAAACTTTCATCTTATTATATGGGAAATACATTGGCTTTACACCTCCCATTAACCCTTAAAACAGTTCACAAAAATTAACTTAGTGCCTCCATGAAAATAATAATAATAACAATAATAATAATAATACTAATACTAATAATAATAATAATAATAATAATAATAATAATAATAATAACCTGCCACTTCATCACTGAACTATTCGCCCTCTCCCCCCCCCACCCCAACCCACAAAAAATCCAATTATGTTCTACGCCATTAACTTCCTGTTGATTAGCAAAGACACGCGTGGTACCTCTAATTATAGTACACAGGTGTTTACGTGGAGACAGATGACAAGACACCTGTTAGTGAGGGTGTTATGAGGTATATACACACACACACCTGTCACCACACAACACACCTCCCACACCTGATAAATAATATCTAAGATAAAAATATAACAATAATCATCATTTTCTCTGCATTAAAAATATTAAATAAGGCTTCTGTTCACTAAAGAAAATAACAACAAAACACTAATAATAATAAGACCGTATAAACCAGCCTGTCATAAATCCTGATAAATAAACCAGACACAATTATACTTCACAGAAAAAATATATATTACGAGTGAGACTACAGTAATGGCACGCCGACCTTGACTATACAGGGGGGGAGAGAGAGGTTGAAACTGACGACCCAGAAAATTTGCATGTCTAGGGCGAGTCGCGCTCTACTGATGTACTGTACAACTCATTTTGTAAGTCGTATAATTATGAGGCCAACCATGGACTGTTCATCAATAATTCGAGACTTTTGTTTTACGTTTTTTTTCTTCGATTATTGAGTTCAAATGGCAGAGGAACAAGTATTAGTTATACCTGTGTGTCTATAACAAGTGTAGGTTATAGCAGCGTGTTTGGCCTAGCTAGTAGAGGGTGAGGGCGGCGTGGTGTGACCTTGCCATCTTCAGATGAAAGTGAGACTACCGTTACATGTGGGTCAGTCTTGTGTGCCACCCCCGCCTCACACCTTCTCCTTACATCATCATTATCATATACTTATTATCTCACATACTGCTAACCTACACTTTATTCATACACATACATCTACACCAACCCTCCTGGCTAAGTCACACACTCCTCCACACCCGTGTTTGTGTCTAACCTCTCATAATACACGTCCCCTCCCTATCGCTGTTACGGAAACAAATTCTAAGCCCAGAATTACTTGAAAATAATCTAATACTACAATTATTAATACTTGTGCCAAATATAAATGAAATCTATGCAGTAGTCAACACACTTAATACTGTTGACAGATGAACGAACGTGGGTCAAACTTAAGTCTCTTCCGGTAACATGGGGTAGTATAAACACCTGTGACGTCAGCGACACGGTGTAAACAACCAAGGCGAGTGGACACGTTTATCGTGTGTTATAGCGTTAATTGGTGTTGGCGCCATAAACCTACAGGTATCGCATCCATCACAGCCGCTTTTACTACCTGTACCTGTTCCTACAGACACAGACGCGTACGCGCGCACTTACACATACACACACACACACACACACGAGAAACTTTATAAAACATAAACGGGACAGAGGAAGTACTGACACACATGACTACTATACTGTTTAAGGCAGCGAAGACTGGTCAATGGGCCCCAGTCTTAATAGACGCCAGCCTAACTTAATGGATCTTATGGTTAGGTTGGGGTAGCGAATCTTCAGGTAATATCCTAGTCTTCACTGTGCTGGGTCACCTTACTCATACCTAAGGTCACTCACTGCGGGAGGGAGCCGGGTTGGGGGGGGGGGGGGGGTAGGGAGGGGAAAGCAGGTTGAGAGGAGGGGGAAAGGGAGAGCAAAGTGGGGGAGGCAGAGGCGAGGGCAGCAAGGCAATGAGAAGGTGGAGGGAGGGGAGAGCAGAGTAAGGGAGGCTGAGGGAGGGGACAGCCGGGTGAGGAGGAGTCAGAGAGAAGGGAGTGCAGAGTGAGAGAAGAGCGGTGTATGAGAATGAGAGGAGTGAGTAAGGAATGAAGCAGAGGTGAATGTTGAGAGAGAAGGGGAGGAGAACGAGTGACACGTGGAGGCAGGGGAGAGGGGAGGTGATGAAGGCGGCGGGACAGGCGAGGCAGGTGGCGCCCTTGACGTGCTCTCTACACTACCACCCTAGGGGGAACGCCCACGGTGAAAGTGAATCTAAAAAGTCAGGATTTGCCTCAACAATAAGGTTCACAAGGACCGAGATATGGATCATAAAAGGACGACGTATGGTGGTTAAACTGTTGTAAAATATGTAACTTGTTGAGGAAAGAGGTGAAAGGCGAGTGGACGAGGTAGATAAGACAAAGGTATGTGGGGGGAGCGGCCTGTCAGACGTCGACCTGGTCGTCGTCCGTGTTTACACTGCAACTCCTGCTTCCACCACCAGAGGGCTCCACGCACTAAATTCTAATCGGCTCTCTTGGTTCTAATTACTTAACGTTCGATATCGAAATGCTTTTCAAAATTATCTCCCTCTTAAAATTAGTAACCGACACACTTACGTTGGTTGGTGAAGGAGTGATGTTTGTCTTACTGTACAAAGGAAGAGTTAAATACTCGTATGTTCGAATATTTTTAAAGAGCAGATAAATTATTCCAGGTGGAGTGTTGTTATTGTGACAGGTGAGGGGGGGGGGGTGTGTGAGGTGGTCTCTGGTCTGACTAACCTGGGGACGTGTTCCACCTGCGGGGTCAGTTACCCCCAGGCTCCACTACACACGAACTACTTATTTGACTTACTATACTACGCTGTGCCTGACTTGTGCTATATGGTTCCCCTCTATCAATTCAATGCAGGTTTTTTCATCAAGACTTAAAAAGAGAAAATCTGAAATAAATCACCAGAGGAACGAAAGACGAAGAAAAAATAGAAAGGATGACAGGTGTCGAGCGAGGTGGAGGGAGAGAGAGAGAGAGGTATACAAGGAAGGTGAGTCTGAGTGGTAGAACATCACCGAGATTCACCTGATCACCGCCCATCACTCACTCCACCGGTTTAGGATTCCCTGCGTGTGCTTCTTGGACTCTCACGACATTCAATTGTGAATTTTTCTTCTTCAATTAACTGTTCACGTACGTGTGTGTGTGTTGAGGAGTAAAAAACAAAGTCACTGACTTTGCTGTGTACCTCACAACCCCTTGGCTGGCATCCAACTCCTGGTGTATTTCAGAGGATGTCGACACACACAGGTCCAAGGTACCATAGGTTGAATAGTGTTGTCTATATATTGCATGCAAACCTTCAAGTGCCATAATGAAGTACTGTACTGTCTAGGAACTGAAAAATAATAAACAAAGCGAAGGGGATAGGAGACTGTGTGATTTAAACGGTGGGTTAAGTAGTGAGCGGCGCTGGCTGGTGAACTAGATGAAGGGTGAGTGAATAGTAGCAAGTGTCTGGTTTTGGTGGCGCCAGCTAGTGCGTGAGGCCACGACGTGGTCATGACCTGTGAGGCAGGGTGGCCAGCCTCCGCATCCACCCCATCACACACACACACACACACACACGGGTTATATCACAGTTTACCCTCTTGTGGCCCCTGACTCACGGAACAATGACACTGCTGTCAAAGGTCATCACTACCAACGCTACTAAGGGCCACAGTGCTGAAGACACCATGGTCGAAGTGTGTATCGGGGGGCAGCCAGAAGGTGAAGAAGATGGAGGAGGAGGAGGTTGTGGGTGACGAGGTTGAGACGTTAGTAGTAGTAGTAATAACATTAGAGAAAGTAAAATCAGAAGGTGGAGGTAGTGGTGATGATGGTGGGAGGGAGGGAGGGAGGGAAGATGGGAGAGAAACCGTGACACCTGGTGCCTTTACCTTCCCTCTCACCGTCACCACACCTGTCACACACACACACACGCCCTCCCTCTCACTGCCATTACACCTTACTGAGACACACACACACAGTGTGTATATATATATATATATATATATATATATATATATATATATATATATATATATATATATATATATATATATATATATATATATATATATCGCCTATGATAATAAGCTATACATATAATTTACGGTTTGCAGTATACAATATATTGTTGTCATTGTTCTAACACTATAATAAACACAAATACTGAATACCTTAAGTTATGTCAACACGATAGTCATAATTTTAGAAGTTTTCGAAACATTTTATACACTACATAACACATATCTTTTATACTATATTCTGAGTTCTTTCGTCAGACCAATAAATAGAACAAAATAATGTCATCAGAGCTCAAATTATACATCGTTTTGTGACATACAGTACATATTAGTTTATAATACTTCAGATAATAGAGTCATAGCAAACTGAAAAAGTTACCCTCGTGTGTGAGGGTTGGCGACCACGGCCCTCCATCCTCACTATTTTGACGATGTTGTTGTTTTGTTTTTAAATTTTCCCCGATGTTGTACAGGTGTGGACAAAAAGAATCCAGCAGGCAGGTAGGCATGGAGGTAGCTGTCTGCTGTGAGTGTCCACGTGTTACTGATTCACACAATAATACTACAGAAGTGACCAGGTGTATTTATATCGTCAGTATTCTCAAACTATATTTATTGTCACCCCCTTTTTAACACATCTTTATGATTATCTTTTTTTTTACTAATTATTGTTTATCTTTTTCTCTCCTTCACGTCCACGCTACCACCACCAAATAAACATCATTTTCTTGTATCTCTTCATGTTTCCTTTAACCTATTGTAATTATTTTGGGTTTTATTTTACCTGATGATTCAATACCCAAACGTTACTAATGTGAACTTGGGTTAGGTTAGGTTAGCGTGCTTAATCATCAGGTGAAATAAGTTGTAGTGCCTAATCTTCACAGGAAAAAATATTATTGGCTAAAAGTTTTTTTTTTACCACAAGACCAGTTTGAGGAACAGGACATCCACCTCCTCCTCCTCA